CAATGAATCATGGAACACTTCATCTAGAACTAATGATGTAATGTATGGGGATTAACATAAGAATAAAAAAATAAAAATAAAAAATAAATAAATAAATAAATTAAAATAAAGGCAATGTGCCATACAGTGAGGGTTCCGAAGGAGCTACGGGGCCGAGACTCTGGCAGTGAGGGTGGCAAACAGTCTATGCAGGGGGATCCCAGACACGCAGAGGCCCCAGCAACTGCAACAACGGGGGGGAGGGGAGGAGAAAACAGGTGGGATCTGGGCAAAGGGAGCTGTGACAGTGCAGGCATGATGGATTTCTGTTGATTGACAGGTCTCAGGTTCTTCTATAGGGTGGGGGACGGGGGGTATGTGCACCTGTGGGTCCATACAGACATAAACATACGTGTATATGAAAAAGGGGACTGAGAAAATCATCAGTGTCAGGGAGTCTGGGTGCACAGTTAATGGTCCCAACAAACATGTTCTGCACAAAATCGGTCTCTTTTCTGCTAAAGGTATTGATAGCATGTTGCCTAAGATCCCTACGATAGCGGCTTCTAAATGCTGCTTACCATAGTTCTGCAACACCCTGCAGCTAAGGAGAAGCAGAAAAGTGGCAAGTGCAAGAGTAAAGGAGCTGGAACGCTAGCAGAAAATCTGGGTTAAAAGCAGGTAAAGCTGCATTACCATAAATTCTTGGTTATCTGAGGGAAATCTGATTTCAGGTTCTCCGTGGCACTGGTTTAAGAGACTGCAGTGATGATGACCTCCCAGAGCAAGGGGTTAGGCTTTTAGCAGACTACTAGTAAGTCTTTCATAAAGGTAAGCACGGAGTTCTTGTGTTCTGAGACTGCCCAGATGGCTGAAATGGGGGCTGATACTCACTCTGACAGTATATGGAGCGTTGACCAGTAAATTCTTTATTTCAGTAAAGTTACTAGCAGCCCTCTGGGAGGCCCACATCTTGGAACCACTCCTGCTATATTCCACCTAAAGTGAAAAGAAGAAATTATTAGTAAGGTAACCAATGGTCTGGGACATCCTGATACCTTACAAGGAGGCAGGGAGAGAGAGGGAGGTGAGATGCCAAGTGTTCTAATGGGTGGAACACGATTTACCCAGCTACATCAAATCAAGACCTAGCCATTCAGAACACGTTTCTGCTCTGGCAGACCCAGAAATCTATTCATAGAGACACACAAGGCGCGCCGCTCCTAGAAGTTACTTACAATGTACTCTCGGATGAGGCCATGGGTGTGGGTGGGAGGAAACCAGTGGGCCACAATCACACCTTCCTCTTCCCTGTGGAGTGACAGCTGGAGATTTTGAGGGGCGTCTGGCACTAGAAAAGAGTCAGCTCAGGGTTAAAACCCATCTGCATACTGGTAAAGGAGAGGAACTTTCCTGAGATTGAAACAAAGACTAGAAAGAATCCAGAGCCAGCATTGGGACCTATCCACCAATAAAGGCTGTAAGCTTGTATGCCCACAACCTGCCTGCACCCTGCCAACAGCCTGCCCACACCCTGCCCGCACCCTGCCCGCACCCTGCCTCAGGGTCACATGGGGTGTGCTGTGTACTTCCTCCGGAAACTATTTCAATTCTCCCTTGCAGGCCTTGGATGACCGTCTGACACCCCTGGGCTCTACTAAACAAGTGTTAACAAAATCATAACACACAGGTGTGAGTTTTGCTGTGCTTCACACCTCCGTGCTTTCTCCAGGCTCCCCCTGTAGCTATCCTGCCCTTGTGCTGGAAGCAACCAAGGAGTTTCAAGGAGCTTCAAGGAGCCCTGGTTCCTTTTTATGAAGAATGGCAGAGAAGCCTCGATCTTAGTGACAGGTGTGCTCACTGCTATGGAAGTGTCATCTGTCTGGGCCTTCCCAGCTGACAGAGCAATTTATGTGATTTATGTGATTATGGTATTTATGTGATACCAGCCTGCCTGTGGACACGTATCTGTAACTATTTTATACGTGAGCATCTGAACGTACATCAAGATCAACAGGAGTTCATACAGAGGTCTCCAACCGTAACCCAAATGTAAGCACGGGCCCTCGCAAACGCAAAGTTCACAAGACCCTGGGGACGAAGATCACTGGAATAAGCATGGAGTCACCTGACGTCAGCTACCGTGAGAGGCGAGGAAGCAGGGAATTCTCTAGGACATGTGAGTTCCGGTAAATCTCTTGAAAACGGAGCCTTAGTACTCCTGACATGCCTCATATTTTAACAATGATGATCTCACAAATACTGAGTACTAGGAGATTGAAGGTAGAGACAGGAGCTAGAGAAGCTACGCAAAAGGCGGCCGTGTTGGGCACGATCTGAAGTTAACTTCCGAAGGTAGCAAAACACCACGTGACCTAATAAGGAGAATACGTGCTCAACAGCTCAGGCAGGACCATCAAGCCTCGCCACAAATCTTCTGTATATATGCAGCCCATGTCATTAGGTTCCCACACTCCTGAGTGTCCTCGGGAAACTCTCTGCAAATCCCACAGTAGGTCTTGAACACACCATAAACGGAAACTAGAATACTTACGTCCTTCCGGTGTCCGCAGAGTCACGAAGTCGTTGGTGTTGTGCACTTTGCTGAGACATTGGACCTGCACTTTGACCTGATACGTGGTGTCTGGCTTCAAGACTTTTAATATGGTGTTGGTTTTATTGCTGTGTGTCTCCACAGTCTTCCAGATGCCCTCTCCGACCACCCTGGCCAGAAGAAGAAAGATATGGTCACATCAGAGCAGTGTGGGGTCGCAGAGGACGCTGGGCTCGGCTAATGAAGAGCCGCTCTGCTCTGTGTACACCACAAGAGTTTGCAGAACGTCCAGTGCTGGTGAGAACACTGTTTTCTTCTCTCACGGCAAAGATGGGACCCACCTGTAGTAGACGTTATAGACACAACCAGCAGAGGGCATTTTCTTGGGCCGCATCCAGGTCAACGTTACGTCCCCAGAGAAGTCGGCCGTCCACTGAAGATTCTGTACTTTGTATACAGTTAGTTCATCTAGAGAGATGAAGGGGGAAAGGGAAAGAAAGTGGTATCTCACAAATCCTTGTGTTTCAAAGGACCCAAGAGGTCCCTTGATGTTTAAGCAGACCTACCAGGATCTAGATTGTCAGGCCACGGCCAGCCTCTTAAGACATCACAGAAAAAAAAGAGTTCAAGCCTTCCTATACGACCTTGCCCAGGGTCTCCTAAATTTCCAGTCACGGTATTTTCCTTGCATTTCGCCTCCTTGTCTACACGGAGGTAAGCCTGTTTCTCAAGAGAGAATTCTACAGGTCCAGGGACAATGTCCTAGCAGGATCCATTACTGCGACAGACCGAATGTGTGTGTCCCTCCAAATTCATATGCTGAAACCCAATCCCCAACGTGATGGGATCAGGAAGCGGGGCTGTTGGGAGGTGATCAGGTCCTAAGGACGGAGTCCTCAGGAGATGAGATGAGCGACCCCAGAGAGCTCCCTCACCCCTTCCATCATGTGAGGACACAGGGAAGACAGCTGTCTATGAACTGGGAAGCGGGCCCTCACCAGACGTGGCATCTGCTGGTGCTCTGATCCGGGCTTCCAGCCTCCAGAACTGAGAGAAGTAAGTTTCTGTTGTTTAGAAGCCCTTCAGGCTGTGATGTTCTGTTAATGGCAGCCCAAAAAGACTAGGACAATTACTAAAGGCGCTCCAGACAGAAGGACTGCGTCCACCCCGCCATGAAGCCTGAGGCTCTGGGAGCATGGTGCACCCGCATGAGGCGGGACAAGCCTCCCTCCACTGGGCGCTCCAAAACCGGGCAAAAAGCGGTTTCCCCTTCAGGCTGAGGAAAGGCTCACGAGGCTCCCGGCAGAGTGCCCGTGGCGGGTGGAGGCTGAGCCCAGGGCCCGAGGGCTGGCACTCACCGCTGCAGGCCCTCTCGTCGCTCTCGTCCGAGCAGTCCAGGAAGCCATCGCAGCGCTCCGAGAGCACGATGCACGCCTCACCGTCCTCACACTTGAACTCCCTGCTCATACAGGTCAAGGTGCTGTGTGTGGCTGCAACACAGGGGGAGGGCACGTTGTGCTAACAGCAGACCGTGTTTAGGAAAAGTGGTCTGCGCTAATTAGCTTCTGATTCAAAACACGCCTCTGGAACAAGGACTAGTAACCCCCACGGTGGCGCTGGGATGCGTCCTTATCTGACATGAACAACACGAATCTGCCTCCCGGAAGAGGAAGAGCTTTGGGGTCAAACGATCTAGAGTGAGTGCAATAATTTACAGGCTCCACAGTGAGTCACTGGAATTGGCCAGGGTTCAAAACTTCTGTTCTAGAATGAGAACAAGGAATCTTGTTTTCTCTCTGAGACACTGCATCTGCTTCTGAAAACCACACTTTGAGATGCAGGTAGAAAAACTGGATAATGTTCTCGCGAGAGAACCAGCATGGTCAACAGGAATGGATAATGGATCCAGAATTATGTTCCTAGAGACAAAAAGATACAGGGGGTCGGGGTGGGGCGGAAAGTTTTAACAACTATCCTCAATCGGCGAGTGCTCACATGAATGACGAATTAAGACTGTGCATGTCGCTAGTGTGGATGTACAGACTTCAATTAAATATACTTTTAAAAAGAGCTCTCTATTATAGTAATTGTCATTGAAAGAAAGGAAATGTGAGGCTTTTTACAAACTACAATCCCCCATCTCCTGGAAAATCATTGTATTATAGAGCTCTGTGACATGCTGAGCTGAAATTGGTTTGCCTTGGGGAGGTTGGAAGGGGGGGGCTTGGTTATAAATAAAACTGCACTAGAGAATTTAGAAAACGTTGGAGACCCACTAGTATAAGAAACCCAAGATGGAATTCATCCTTCCATCTATCCATCCACCTAACCACCCATTCACCCACTTACCCATCCAATTCAACCAGCCACCCAGTATCCACCCACCCACCCATCTAGACACCCATCCATCCATCCATCTACCCCTTCATTTATCCATCTACCCATCCATTCATCCACTCATCCACCCATCCATCTACCCCTCCATTTATCCATCTACCCATCCATCCATCTATCCATCCACCCATCTTCCCAACCATCTATGGAACCAGTGAATATTCATGGAGGGCCTACCATGAATCAGGTACTGTTCAAGATGCTAAGAATATGGTGATGTGTACAACAAAGGACCTACCCTCACAGAGCTTACTTTCTATTGAGAGAAACAGTAAAAAAGTAAGCAAATCACTCTGTGGTTTTAGATAGTGATTAAAAACTACAAAGAAACATGAAAAGAGAAACAGTAACAGAATGATCGACAGGGGTCATGTCATGCAGAATAGTCTAGGAGAAACTCTATGAAGGGCATTGTTTTAGAAAATACCAAGATCCCCCTCCCAGAATTATTCCACGTGGTAAAATATATCCAAACAACAGGTGAGTCGTAAAGCTGGTGGGTGTTTGAGGTTTCTTTATGAAACATGTCTCAACGTTTTTTAAAGTGGGAAAACACAGGTTTTAGAAATAGAGAATACGGGGGGCGCCCGGGTGGGTCAGTTGTTAAGCGTCTGCCTTCGGCTCAGGTCGTAATCCCAGGGTCCTGGAATCGAGTCCCACATCAGGCTCCTTGCTCGGCAGGAAGCCTGCTTCTCCCTCTCCCACTCCCCCTGTTTATGTTCCTGCTCTCGCTATCTCTCTGTCAAATAAAATCTTAAAAAAAAAAAAAAGAAATAGAGAATACGGTTGTTATTAATCTCTGAAAATCCTTAAGCTGATAATTAAACAGATGATTAATTGGCACTTGGAAGAGAATGTGGCAGCCTTCAGGGGCCAGTTTCTCCAAGAAGAATCTTGTCATGTTAATCTCATTTCCTTTTTTGATAGGGCTCTCAGATTAATGGATTGAGGAAGATTGGAAATAGAGCACATCTTGATTTTAAGACCCTTAACCAGACAACATTCTTATGAATAAGGCTGATTTGGAACAGGTAAAAGAAACTTATTTAAAGAATGCCAATTAATGAATTAATCTCACCCAGGAGGAAGGTCCTATTTCATTTCCTCTGTTAATTATTTTCAATGTTCATCTTACTGTGCAGTTACTTATTTGGCTGAAATGTTCCTATTATGATTTTGGGCAGTATGGGATCAATCTGCCCTGTTATCTTGATGTCCCAAAGATCCATTTGAATTTTACCCTATCCCTCGTTTCCCTCTGTTATTTCAGAGTATTCCACTATAAGAACTTTGAACGTGGCATGATGAAAAGGTCACAACCTTGCGCAAAAAAACAAAAACAAAACAACAACAACAAAAAACTAAATAAATATCCCAGTCTGGTACTGACAAGGTGATCTCTGAAGCTGATTCTCCTATCTCTAAAATGGAGATAATCCCAAAATCGCAAGGTTATTATGAGAAATGAAGCAGGAGTAATGAGGTCTCCTGCTCTCCAGAAATCCTCCAGAATGGTGAATTCCTCTGAGACTACTCACGACAGTTGGCCTCGTCCTGGCCGTCCTGGCAATCTTGGTGGCCGTCACAGCGCTTCCAGTTGGGGATACACTTCTTTGGCTGGCGACACTCGAATTCAAATCGGTCACAGTGCCCGTGGTGAGTGGGAATGGAGGCAGCCGTGACATTTGCTGGAAGAAAAAGTTTTGAAAATTCACTTTTTTTTTTTTTTTTAAAGATTTTATTTATTTGACAGAGAGAGACACAGCAAGAGAGGGAACACAAGCAGGGAGAGTGGGAGAGGGAGAGGGAGAAGCAGGTCTCCCGCCGAGCAGGGAACCCGATGCGGGGCTCGATCCCAGGACCCTGGGATCATGACCGAAAATTCACTTTTTGAGTACTGAGGGAGCTGGTCAGCAAGAGCAACCAACTCAACCTGGTAGGAAATTCAGGAAATTATGGTGCATTTGGAATGACGACGGGGGCCTGGAGACAAATGTAAGCTCTGGATGGGGAAGACAGATCAACAGGACACAGCCATCTAATCTTGGAAGCTGGAACACAGACAGCGGTAAGTGACTCAGGGGACCAGAGAAGGCTGTAGCCCATCCTAAACTGTCACTGCAGAAAGCAAAGAACCCACAAGATCAACATCACAGAATCTTCAAAAAGCTGAAAAATGGTATCTGTGAACAGAGAAGAGGAATAAAGGCAGTAAGGGAAGAGACCGAAGAATGTTTGAGCAGCAGCAAGATTCCCTACGTGCCCTGCCCCTACCAGCCCCATGCAACAATCACCCTGGACGTCACCCCCCCAGAAGCCTGGAGGATTGTTATGTGGAGGGTAAAAAGGGTTGGTTAGAAGGGCCTAGTAAAGAGCAAAAATGCCATACTGAAGAGAGGGGGTTAAACCCTCAGATTGCTGAACGCGAGGACCCTGGTCCCCATCCTCATAAGCCCTGGCAGGAACACCTTTATTCCCTAGGCAAGAGATTGTAAAAATCTCCTCAAGGGAAATCGACCAGCCTCGGGAACAAATTCTCAAGCAACCCAGATCAAAAGTTCCCCACCAAACAGCCCCACCATGAAACTCAAAGCTGACAAGCCTACCTGTGTGCAGAATCTCTTGCATTTTTGTCCCCACCCTTAAACACAAGTAAGCAACCCAGGATTATTTGGGGAAAAACCTTTGACATGAAAGACAGAAGCGAGTACAGACCCCTTCCCTGCAAAAAAAGAACATTTGGAGGAAAGAGAGACTCTGTAAGAATAAAACCTCAAACATAAATATCCTCAATATGCTCAGAACATAAGAATATCTATTTCTGCATGAAAAAAGGACAGGATGCCATGCAAAAGGAAGAGTACGAGAAATTTCAAAGGTAACTGTAATGGAAAACTCAGGAGCAGAGCTGGTAGAGCTGAATCTTCCAGAAAATAGAGGGGGGAAAAAAGGGGGGGATCAATTAAAAAATAGAAAGGTGACAGGACCACATCAGTAGATCTAATGTATGAATGACAAGAGTTTCAGGAAGAAAGAGAAAACAGAAAAGATTAATGGAATAATTCAAGAAAAATTCCCCAAACTCAAATACATAAGTTTTCGGAATGAAAGACGCTATCAGTGTCCATCCACCACACTCGATGGAAAGGGACCCAGATCAAAAGCACAGCGTTGTGAAATTTCAAAACACTGGAGCCAAAGGGTACACCCTACACGCTTCCAGAGAGTAAAAACATGTGACATGCAAAAGATCACAATCAAAATGGCTTTGGATTTCCCAGGAGCTGCTCAGTGACAGGAGCAATCCCTTCAAAATTCTGAAGAATTACTGACAACCAAGAATTCCAAACCCAGACCAACAACTACCACTCACATATGAAGACAGAAGAAAAACACTTTCAGAGAAGCAAGACCTCAACGATGCCTCCCACGTTCTGTTTCCCAGGGAACCTTCTGGAAAATGTGCTCTACCAAAAAAATGGGATTAAACTTAAAAAAAAAAAGAGAGAGGGAAATGAAGAATGAGGGAGAGAAATCTGGAATATAGAAAACAGGATCTCGGGGCGCCTGGGTGGCTCAGTCAGTTAAGCGGCTACCTTCGGCTCAGGTCATGATCCCAGAGTCCTGGGATCAAGCCCCACATCGGGCTCCCTGCTCAGCGGGAAGACTGCTTCTCCCTCTGCCACTCCCCCTGCTTGTGTTCCCTCTCTCGCTGTGTCTCTCTGTCAAATAAATAAAATCTTTAAAAAAAAAAAAAGAAAAGAAAACAGGATCTCCAAAATGAGAGAAGTCAAACAAGTCCTTAGAATGGAGAAGCCACATCCCGGGAGACCCGTGTGGCCCAGGCACAGAGAGTGACAAGCACAAACCCCAAGCAGCAAACTCAGAAGACAAACACGTTGAAGGCTGTCTTCTCTGTGTCCTTGGCCTCTGCACCACCTTGTCACTGGACAAAACTACGGGAGGGTGCACTTCAACAATACAAGGGAGCAAACCAAGAAAAGCAAGACACAAGACCCAGGAAACAGCGACTCTAAACCAAGAGAAAGGCAAAAGGAGTCCCAAGGAGGGCAGTGAAGGCCCGAGGGTAGGGCGGGGGCGGTGGGCGTGCAGCAGGCCTGGACAACACTGGGCCCAGAGAGGAGGATCCGGGCTGGTAGAAGGGATACCCCCAAGAGAAACTCTGGGGCTGAGAAATCACTGATACGGGGACCTTGCAGAAAGTGACCCCTAGAGGCAACTGAGGGGGGGAAAGCACTAACAGACGTCACACAATAACCTGAGCTAACAAATGAAACAACAAGAACCAATTACTAATTTGGGGATATTGTGCACATCCCATGGTTTTAACTGGATTTTCAAAGGGGCCTCTCTTACACCTAGAACCCCTCTGCTAAAACATGGTGCACGGGGAAAAGCGGTAAAAAATGAGGCTAGAAAGCCAAGCTAAGGCACATCACAACACTAATGCGTGGACAGTAAGAGGGCCACCAGAAGGTTCCAGACCGGGGGAGGCATGATCATGCATCCATATGCAGCCTCTCGGAAGATAAACTGTAAAGGGGAGAGACACAAGGCCCAGAGACCAGTTAGGAGACTTGCAGTGCAAAAACCAGATCCGAGAGCTGGAGAAGACCCAATTAAATTTGCCCTGATGACATACATACGAAAGAAATCACAGAGGCTGAAGGAAAGATGGAAATAGGAATCCGCTCCCTGCATTAAGCAGAATTTGCTAGAGCCTATTAATACCTGCTCAGAGGTTTCAATAACCAAAAGACAATTTTGAGAGGAGAATTGAATCATTAAACAGATAGGTGGGTCTTGGGGGCCAAGGACAGAGATAACAAAAAATTTTACAATTTGTTTTAATTGGAGAAGCATTTACAGGATGTTATCTGCCTATTATTGGAATAAGCACAGGGGGGATTCAAAGTAGTATGTGGCATGATCCCAAAACATGAGGTCCGTATAATCGCTTGGAAAAGAAAGATGCCCATGCATGAGATGACCAGAAAGCGGTGCATGGCAGATCGTAGTGAAGAATCTAAAGGACAACAGGTAAGTATGAGACTGGAAAAGAGATCCGTGCCGATTACAGGATTCTGTGAACGCTCCGTGGTGGTGGGCTTGCAAGGGAAGGTAACAGTGCACTTGCTCCAAGCAGGAATCTCAAACTTCAGTGAACCCAGCAGTCACGTGGGGAGCTCCTGAGCTCCATGCAGAAATCCTAATTCTGTAGTTCTTCCAAATGCTCCCAAGTGATTCCATTACAGGTGGTCTCTGTTCCGTACATTGATAAACTCTGGTGACATATCAAGGTCTCTTCTAGCTACAAAAACCATGCTTCTGTCTGCTGCGATGGACAGTGGGTTTCAGAGAGGGGGAAGTGGGAGGGCAAGGTCGAGGAGGACAGAGGTCTCTGGTAAGGCAGAAACTCTGCTGAAGGAGTATCAACAGAGAAGAAGCAGGTCTGTTCAGAGAGGATGAGGAGCTCGGCTTGGCAGACATGCAAAGTAATGGCAGGTAAGGAAGGACCTTGAAAATAGGACTCAAGGGTTAGGATCTATTCTTGGGACAAGAGAAAACCACTGATGCTTTCAAACAGTGAAGCACTGGGACAATTTAGTTTTAAAGGAGGAAAATGACTGCTGATCTAGAAGTTTGCTAGGAAAAGGATGTGCAAAGCATAGAAAACAACTGTCTATTCTCTTACTTTAACCGAGTCTGAAATAGAATCCCGCTCAGGAAAGGACACAGCATCCTTACCTCTGTTCTGCCTACAGTTGAGGGTCTCAGGGTTGACTCCCACCTCCCGCAACACGGTTACTGCCCATGCCTTCAGATGCCTGTCTGGGTCCGGCCACTAGATGGCAGTGCTTACCCTCCTTTAGCAGGATGGGCGCCAGCTAGCCAGCACCCCGTGAGTTTAACACACAGGCAAACACTTCCCCTGTAATTGCCATTGTAATTTCCTGTGGAGAAGGAAGCAAAGGGGGCCCAACCACAGCCCAGGTGGGAAGCCGGGCGGCTGGCCTTTTCGTGCAGGAAGATGAGAAGGCGCTTGGAGGAGAGGAGACCCTCCAGCTCTTGAGTGCTCTGGAGGTGAGAAGCAGCCCCGGCCACGAGCACAGGGTCCCAGAAGGCAGGGGGCACCGAGCCGGGCCACTCTGTGCCCAGGGCGTACCCCCAGAAGGTCCGTTCCATGAAGGCAGGTGCCACAGGAGGCGCAGGGCCAGCACTCACCAGGCGAGGGGCAGGCTTCTTCATCCGAGCCATCTGCACAATCCCGGTACCCATCGCACACCCAGCTGTCCATCACGCACGCCCCGCTGCTGCAGCGGTAGTAATTGGGCAGACACGTAGAGGGCCCGGGAGTGGGGGATGGGAGGACATGTGAATCTGAGCAAAACACAAGCAAGCAAGAACGCCCAAAGTGTTACAAGACGCTTCATCCCAGACCAAAATGTGTCCCCAGACTTAGCGTGGATGTCCCCGTTTGAGCTGCCCCAGCCCAGGGAGGCCGGCGTGAGGCACGGTTCTGATTGCAGCTCATCTAACAATCATTTATAATGGGGTATCAGAACAGACCGCAACCTCTTCCCTTTTCTGGAGCAGATTCACCTAACCCCTATTATCTGATCTGTGCTAATATCTGAATGAGTTTGCTTTTGCAGGTGCTCAACAGGGGCTCAGTGCTTTTGCAGGCTGATGGAAGGAAGGTGACTCAGAATGCGAGGGTGGATGGAGAACTCCCACTGAGTCTACACACTGTGCTGGTTACAATTCCACTGCAGCTGCCCTGAGACCCAGTTCAGAGAGGAGAACCCCAAAAAGGAAAGTAACGAGCACGCATCCCACACCAGTGCTCCTCAGATACGACATGGCACCCCTATCACCTAGAGATCTTGTTATGATGCAGAGTCTGACTCAGAAGGGAGGCCTGGGCTGGGGGTCGGAGACCCTGCATTTCGCACAAGCTCCAGGCAGATGTGGATGCTGCTGGTCCGCAGGGCCATGCCTGGAGTTGCCAGGCTCCAGAGCGCTCACTGTGGCCTGCACAATATGGCCCTCAAAACAGGAGAAACCAACCACGCTGCTTCTAAAGTGGGAGGGGGTAGAAAAGAACTCAGACAGTTGCGCCCCAAATATCACTGAATAAGCCCGGCAGCGACAAAACCAACTTCAATTCTGTGCAGAAAGGGGGCCGTGTGCTGGTGTGTCCTGGTGACGGGCTGACCCAGGACCCTCACCTCCGCAGTCCCTCTCATCAGACCAGTCGCCACAGTCGTTCTCCCCGTCACATTTCCACCTGTTGGGGATGCAGTGGCCGTTCTCACACTGGAACTGGAAGTAGCGGGAGCAGTTCGGGGCTTCTGTGGGGTTTTCTGGGGAGATGAACCACACCGTCGGTCAGTGTGAACATACACACCAACCAGACAGACACGGCCTCCTCAAGGCCCAAGTCCCCAGGCAGCCTGCACAATCCTACCAGATACAGGTAAGGCGGCTTCTTGGACCCAAGCCCCATCTTCCTGGATCCCAGCTCATGCTCCTCTGAGCCACGCTTCTGGATCTTACAGATAATAGCCAAATTTTCATTTTGATGCTTTACCAAAGGAATGATATAATTACTGACTCTGACCCAACAGTGATAACGACTCTATAAAGTTGTGGAATCTGTAACCTTTAGGAGAGGAGAGGGAAGCACTCTCCAAAAGATTTACCGTAAATCCTCTACTGTATTTCTTAGACATCACGCGAACTTCCCGACTGGGGAAAGAAAAGGAACCAGAACAAACATTCCCCAACACCGACTGGGGGCAGGCTGCCACTTCAAGACTCGATTCCTTACAGAGATTCGAGAGCTGGCAGGAACCAGCGCTGAGGAAGGAGAAGGCAGAGCCTGCATGGGAGTGGGCTGAGAACGGCCTCCTTAACCACAGGCGGCACTGTGACCAGAGGTTAGGGACGAGAGGCTGAAGGTCCAAGCTCTTACCGCAGTTGGCTTCATCCGAGTAGTCACCGCAATCATCCATGCCGTCGCATTTCCAGATCAAGCTGACGCACACTCCATTCTGGCACTGGAAACTGAACTCATCACAAACCTTGTGGAACTCGGGGTCTTGGGCTAGATAAGGAACAAGCATCCATAAATTCCAGGTTACTGCCATACTGAAGAGATCAAAGGGGGACACTGCTTGGAAACGAGAAGAAAGAGCAAACTGTCCTCCACCAAGAGATAGGCCGGCTGGCTACCGGGCTCCTTGATGGCAAAAGCCAATTGAAGGCCTAACCCCCAGTAGCTCAGAAGGTGACTATATTTGGAAACAGGGTCTTTAAAGAGGTGATTAAGTGACAATGAGGTCATTAGGGTGGACCCTCATCTAATAGGACTGGAAAGAAAAGGAAAGCAAGACACAGACAGGCACAGAGGGGACACTGAGGGAGAAAGAAGGCAGCCATCAGCAAGTCAAGGACGGGGACTGCAGAAGAACCAACTCGACCCGAGATCTTGACCTCAAGCTTGTGGTCTCCAGAACTGTAAGAAAATGCATTTTGCTGTTTTAGCCCCCCAGGCTGTGGTCTCTAGTAATGGCGGCCAAGCAGACCAGCACGAGTCGCTACCACAGGCAGGGCCCAGTTTTAGGAGCGGGGCTAGGGCAGTGCACGAGACAAAGGCCCTGCTCTCGTGAAGCCCACACTCCAGGTAGCAGAGACAGGCAGTCCAATAACTGCATTGCATGCAAAGCGGTGACTCGTGCTGGGAAGACCCCTGGCACCAGGCAAGGGCTACAGAGGGACGGGTGTGCGGGAAAGGCCGGTCGGAGAAGGGGCTCTCTGGGCCAAGACCCCGGTCCTCCCACACCTTCCGCTGATACGGACACCAACCACCAAAGAGCAGTACTTCTGAAGCAACAAAGGTCAGTCTTTCTCAGAAAGGGCCAGACTGGACGCTCAAGCAAGACCCGTGAACCAGAGCGGCCCAGCCCTTTGCAGTGTCTCCAGGGACTCGCCCCTGCACCTCCGCATCCCCCCCACACACACACACTCACAGCATCCTGCGAACTCCGCGTCCTCATCAGAACCGTCACGGCACTGGACGATTCCGTCGCACACCATGGAGTGGAACAGGCACTGTTGACGGTTCTTGCACACGAAGTCCATGAAGCGTGTGCACAGGGGCTCTGAAAGGGGTCCGGGGTGGGGAGAAGGCCGTGAGCGCCCAGGACTGGGGGGGGGCGGGTACAGATGTGCCCTCAGGAGACAGCAGGAAGACCCACTTATTGGGCACTTGCTGTGTGCCCGAGCCCTGAGCTACAGCAACTGACCCTCGAGACAAGGTTATGAGAGATTTTACTGCCTGGTTGTCACAGGAGAACAGAAGGGATGGCAGCATTGAGTATTTTGCCCAGAGTACCCAGCGAATGAAGGGGGAGCCAGCCAAAACTGACATCTAGACTTGGGCGTCTGCCGTCCAAGCTCACGATCTTAATCACTAGGCACAGAATCCTGGCTCTCTACTACTTTTTCTATAAAGGACCAGAGTTACGGACTGAATCGTATCCCTAAAAATTCATATGTTAAGGCCCTAACCCCCAGGGTAACTGTATTTGGAGACAGGGCCTTTAAAGAGGTAATGAAAGTTAAATGAGGTCATCCGGGAGAGGGGGTCCCTGATCCGACAGGGGCAGGGTCCTTCGAAGAGGAGACACCGGGGATGCGGGCACAGACAAACGGCCACCCAGGACACAGCCAGAAGATGATGGCCTTTGGACTCGAACTGCGACATCAGCCTGCCACCTGGGTCTCCAGCCTGCCGGCCTACCCTGCAGATTTGGACTTGCCAGCCCTCATCACCGCATGAACGGATTTCTGAAAATGAATCTCTCCCCAGAGATACACACATCCTATGGGTTCTGCTTCTCTAGAGAATGGTGGCTGACACAACCAGAGAGCGAATTCTCCAGGGTGTGCGAGTCCTACAGTCTCTATCATGACTACTCCACGCTGCCGCTCTTGTGTGGAAGCGGCCCCAGACAACACATAAACAGGTCATGACCGTGTTTAAAGAACACTTCATTCCATAGAACGGCTTACGTCTGGGCTGGCTTTCCCCCACAGTCCAGCCTGCTAACCCCTGCATCGCGACATTGGTTCTCAAGCTGGGCTGCCCATCACAATCACCTGCAGCACTTTTTTTTTTAAAATCCCAATGCCCAGGCCACGCTCCAGACGAATTACATCAGAATCGGGGAGGGCGGGGAACCCAAGCACAGTATACTCACAGATGAGCACCATTGACCCAAGACAACCTCTGGGAGTCTAAAGGAAACTGGGATAAAAGAGTCACCTGGCCGAAAATGTTACCCAAGCAACACTAATAAAACCAATAAAGTAGGATAAGTGTTCAATTCAAAACAGTGGGTTGACTCCTGCATCTGCAACCAAACAACAGTGTTCACCGAGCCACGACCCATTCCGCCGTCACCCCGCTGCTAACCCCCTCCCTGCTCCTCTTCACCCAAACCACGGTGCCCTGCCACCATCAGCCTCTCAGAGTCCTGCACCAGCTCGGGTTAAAAGCTAACCACCAGCACGTACTGAGGAAATGCAACAATTCAGTCCACTATATGCGCTTCCCCAGGGCAGGGAGAGGACTCACCGCAGCGCTGTTCGTCCGCGCCATCCGAGCAATCCCGCAGACCGTCACAGTGCTTGCTGGATGGGATGCACGTGCCATTCGGGCAGCGGAATCCGTTGCACTTCTTCTCTGAAATGCAATGCGACAACGGAAGGAAATGACGGAGAGGAAACAGGCAGGCACTCACATGCGTCGTTGTGCGGGTAGAAAGCTGCACCACCCCTAAGGAAGGTGGGTGACTGGTAACTGCGGCCACAGTTACCGATGCGGCACATTGTGCCCAGCAATGCCATCGTAAAAATGTAACCTACCCACCCAGGTGTAAAATAGTGTAAGCACGAGGTTATTCATCGCAAGGCTCTTTGTAACGCACGGAAAACCGTCCACGTGTCTATTAATAGGGGACTCTGCGATGCCTTATTGTACACAGAACACGAGACTGTCATAAAGGCACTGAGGAAGCACTCTGTAAAAATGTATCGTGGATACACAGTTGTACGAAAAAAACAAGTTACAAAACAACATGCATAGCACACTACTTGTATAAAAGAGAACAAGAATACACACTACATTTAAATTTGCACATATGCACAAAAATACCCCAAAAGGGTATACAACCATAATTTCCTACGTGGACAGGGTCGGAATTTGGCAGCTGGGGAGAAAAATGTTTACCGAACACCTCTTGATACTTTTTTTTTCCATTTTCAACCATGAAGAAATGGAACCATGTCACCTCCTCATGAGTACATATTTTCAAGCAAAGCTTCAGTGAATAAAAAAAAGGGGGACATGAATTCTGATTATAAATCCTGGTCTTTGAAAGCTCTCATACATCACCATCTTAATTCTTCAGGAATTCTAAACCAAAGCCCTTTTGGAGAAAGTCCATCCTAGAAATGTTAAGAATCTTAGGTTTCACACTTAGTAGAGAATTCTTAGCATGAGATAACCCTTTCTCCTGAACGCTACTGCCCAACGTTAGGCTTAAAAGTAAATTCTAGCAGGTCAGTCATGGCCACTGCAAACCCAACTCTTAGGAGAACGGTTCTAGGAGGGTCAGGTGCAAGGCAAGAAAATGTGTTTTAATCCCATAAAAGGTCATCATGGAATAGGAAATTATTCAAAGGACATCAAACAGAAATAGGAAGTGAGTACCATGAGTCGGGGAAATAATGTCGTTAAGTATAAAAGCTCTTTTTAAAAAAGTATAAAATTAAAATTACACGAGACAGACTCCCATTCATTAAATCAGTGAAAGCAGCTAAAATGTAAGCTCAAGGGAGACTCAGGGAAACAGACACTACGCTGCTGACAGATGCTTCAGGTATCATTGCTTGGAAACTCAATATGGAGACACTTAATGAGAATCACTGAAGTCCATCAGAACCTCTGACCCAGCAATGCCATACTGAGGAACATATCCTAGGAAGTATCTTCAAGAAAAAATAAGGTTTCATTTCCAAAGAAATGGATAATTTTACTACGCATAATAGTGTAAAACTAAAAACACTCAAATGCCTGACCAGGAAGCAGCTAAGTAAGTCAGAGAAACACAAAGTGAATGTGCATCTGCCATGAAAATGCTGACTATAGAAAAATACAGACATAGGCAAACATCTTCAATACTTGGACATGAGAGCAACAGGGCATACAACATGCAGACAATGACTACAATCCCATGAAGATCTGGACGTATGGTGTCAAGTAACAGGAAATATATATATATACTGGTCTCTGCCCCTGGTTACTGGCACAGAGCTCTTGAAACCCTTGTAATTCCCTACGGAATAGAAGTGTCTCGTGTTCTAACGGGGCTGCTCTGGGTGGGCTCCTGCATAGCTTTTGGATGGGGGCTGGTCACCAGAAAAACCATGCCATGATTAGAGGCTTGGAACTTTGAACCCCACCCCTGATCTTCTAGGAAGGGGCGAGGGATGGAGACTGAGGTAATGATCGGTCATACCTACGTGATAAAGCCACTATAAAAATCCCAAAAGTAGGGCGTCTGGGTGGCTCAGTTGGTTAAGCGACTGCCTTCGGCTCAGGTCATGATCCTGGAGTCCCAGGATCGAGTCCCACATCGGGCTCCCTGCTCGGCAGGGAGTCTGCTTCTCCCTCTGACCCTCCTCCGTCTCATGCTCTCTGTCTCTCATTCTGTCTCAAATAAATAAATAAAATCTTTAAAAAAAAAAAATCCCAAAAGTATGGGGCTCAGAGAGCCGTCCAGGTTGCTGAACACAGAGATGCTGGGAGAGCGGCAGGTCTGGACAGGGCACGGAAGCCCCACAACCCTTCCCCATGCTTTGCCCGATGCATCTCTTCCATCTGGATGTTCATTCTATCCTTTATCACGTCCTTTTCTAACAAACTAGGAAACGTGTTTCCCTGCGTTCTGTGAGACATTCCAGTAAATCACTGACCCCAAGGAGGGAGACCCGGATATATAGGTGGTCAGTGAGAAGTATGGGTGACCACTCGGAGGCTGGTGACCGGCATGGGAGGTGGGGGCAGTGCTGGGGACCGCACCCCTCACCCGTGAGATCTGACACCATTCCAAGGAAGACAGAGTAAGGACTAAGTTAACTGGAGGACACCCCCCCAGCTGGTGCTGAAGAGCTACTTGATGTGGAAAACACACGTGTGGTGGCCAAGAAGTGTTGGAAGTACTGTGTGAGCAGGATACTGAGAGCAAAGGAGAAACACGGGGATTTTTTTCCTATCGACATTAGAAAAAAAGGATAATGACAGAGAACCTTAAAGTTATTTGGCATTGGGGCACCTGGGTGGCTCAGTCGTTAAGCGTCTGCCTTCGGCTCAGGTCATGATCCCAGGGTCCTGGGATGGAGCCCCACATAGGGCTCCCTGCTCGGCAGGAAGCCTGCTTCTCCCTCTCCCGCTCCCCCTGCTTGTGTTCCCTCTCTCGCTGTGTCTCTCTCTGTCAAATAAATAAAATCTTTAAAAAAAAAAAAAAAAGAAGTGTGTGGGGGGGTGGCGCCTTGGTGGCTCAGTCGTTAAGCGACTGCCTTCGGCTCAGGTCCTGATCCCGGGGTCCTGGGATCGAGCCCTGCGTCAGGCTCCCTGCTCAACGGGAAGCCTGCTTCTCCCTCTCCCACTCCCCCTGCTTGTGTTCCCTCTCTCGCTGTATCTCTCTCTGTCAAATAAATAAATAAAATCTTTTTTAAAAAAAAGATACTTGGCATAAAACAGAATTTCATGTATTTGCGTTTGTGTGGTGGCTATTTTGTGAAGGTAAGTGACTACCTCAGAGTTCTTTGTGAAATCAGTTACGCTGAAAAAGTCCTACCTTTGGGGTGGTGAGCCATTTTCCTACAGGCTGGTAACAGAGTACTCTTAGTCACAAAGCATGCGATTTATACAGAAACTGTTGGCTAATTTCTGGCGGAACACGGGTCATTTCTGTATGTGGTGACCATATTTAGCACTCTGGGTGGGTGAACTGGTTTCCATTTCTTCTCTTCGAAGCTGTTATGGAAAAGCAGTGAGGCAAAACAGCTTGCCTGCCAACGAGGACAACAACACACCCCTCGACATCCTACGGCAGTGCCATATAGAAGCTGGGAGGGCGTGTTCAGTTGTCCGCGTGGGCATCTGGGCGCAGCAGAACAGCACTCCCATCCCTGGCCCACTGTTGCCTCTGTTCCTGAACGGCAGACACTAGGGACGCTCCAGGTGGAGGCCAAAGCATGGGCATTTACCGCAGTTCACTGGGTCCTCGTCAGAACCGTCTTGGCAGTCCATGTCACCATCGCATGCCCACCGCTGGGGGATACAGTGTCCATTGCGGCACTGGAAGTTGGAGGCCTCGCAGGTGTGATAGATGGCTGTCAGCAAGACAGAAGAGAGAAAGTGTCAACGCCACCCTCACCTCTGCTCCCCCACCAACCGCCAAGATGCTGACCGAGGAGAGACTGTGCTGGGTAATAAGGTATGGACCACAGTGCCGGAGTTCCTCCCTGGCCAGAAGCGAGGCACCTGGGGTTGCCCTGAAGGTGGGGTGCAGCCTCCTGATCAAGCAAATCACTTGACTCTGTGAGTCTGTGAAGTTACAGAAGCATAGATGTACAGGTTTAAAAAAAAAAATCATTCACTTTTTGCAACCACCTATGACGTGAGGGTTATTCCCCATTCACAGATAAGAAGCAGCCTTAGAGGGGCGCCTGGGTGGCTCAGTCGGTTAAGAGTCTGCCTTGGGCTCAGGTCATGATCTCAGGGTCCTGGGATCCAGCCCCAAGTGGGGCTCTCTGCTCGGAGGGGAGTCTGCTTCTCCCTCTGCCCCTCACCCCACTCTTGTGCTCTCTCTCCCTCTCTCAAATTAATAAAATCTTTAAAAAAAATTAATAAAAAGAATTAAAAAAAAAAAAAACAGCCTTAGAGAGATTAAGAAACTCGCCCACGTTCACAAAGAGAAGTAAGAGCCCCAGCGCTCTCCAAGTCCAAAGCCTGGGCAGTTTCTGCTCTGTCTTGCTACTTTATCTTCTCACATGAACCCACTCACTCATCCAGATTCTGTGGGACAAGGAAAGGTGGTATGTGCTCCGGGGACCGCCTCTAGACCTGGTCCAGACCTGGGGGTGTCAATCTCATCTATATTGACATACAAGGACCCCTGTAAGCTCTGAAAAGCTGTGATTGCATAATTCTCAATAAACAACCCAATTTCAAATGTGGAAAACCTCAGATCCAGAGAGCACGGAAGATTTATCCAAACTCACACAGAAAGGTCCCAGAACCTCCTGAACTTGTCTAACTCTCCCGACTGACATCTACCAGCCCACAACACATGGTGGCCGCTACAATCATTAAAAGAAAAAGACACAAGTGAAACAGTGCTGATGTTATAAACCAACAGCCTTGTTTGCATACATGGGCTGAGGCCACCTGGAAGTCCTTTAGAAACATCTCAAAAAGACTAGTTTGAACGCAGAGTAACTGCCTCAAACCCAACTGGCACTAGTAACCACCTCTCCACTAGATTTCCCCTTCCTCTGCTAAAACAGAAAGCTGTTTGTGTCTCTTCATTGCTGAATGAAAGCCAGGGCTGGCCTTGTTTACCTCTGATATAAAATAATGCAATCGAGATGCATGGGCTCTCTGTTAGCTTAAGGATGTCTTTGCAACAGATGAGGCAGAACAAACAAAAGTGGGTTATTGAGTGCGTACTATAGTTATTTATTCAATCAAGATGGTTGGCAACTGCTACTCAAGGACTGGAAAAATGGGCTTCCAATGCCCTCTAGAATTTCTACTGAATTTTAGGCTATTTTGTGCAGCAGTCTGAAATACAAAGAACCTGATTTTTCAAACCACTTTAAAACAAGTGGTGGTCCATTACCTGTTGTCTTCTTATCTCTCTGAAGATCAAGGCTATATGTGTAGTATGCAAATGGGTCTATAGGAAGTTTTAATATTTTACAACCTTTGGCACTCAGAATCCAGTAAACATCTTTTAAAGATACACTTATATATCTCTGATAAGAGGAGTACGTTGCATGTTACATGTTACGTGAGCTTTTGCCCAAGTAAGCCATTGCCTGGAAGACTTTTGATCTGGTGGTTTTACAAGTCTGACAGCCCTTGAAAATATTCCTCAGCAAAGCCTTGCTCATTTTCATAAAATATACTGCTGCCTAAGCTCACTGCCATACTGATCTACTTGTTATTATTCAGCTTATGCATCTCATTTTTAATTGAAAACAATTTCGGAGTGCTAATGGAGTTTCCAAATGACCATTCTGGGAGGCATGCCTGAGATCTCCAAAATCCATCACAGAAGCTGAGCTCAGAAAGACTAATCAGTTTGTATAATTTCATTTAAGTGGCCAGGTATGAATGGAATTCTTAACACATTCTCTTTTTCTGAATTTTCCCATCTTCTGAGTAACTTACTAGGTCTCTGACATGGAGTGTCTGGTAATTAATACATGTTTAATTATTACCTTTTTCTTTTAATTATAAGGATGGAACAGATTGACTTTAATACAGACTAAAGAATGGGGGGAGAAAAATAAGAATCCTTTGCACGGCAGGAATCATTGTAACTGTGAGAAAGGATGGGCTAATGGGGTACATGACCATGAAATTAGAGGATCAGGATTTCTAATAGAGGCCATCACCCTACACCTTACTCTCGGACTTGGACAGATCTTCCTTGACTTCCTTCCCCTCTGGAACACTTGATCAGAAGCATTAACCAAATACAGGAGGGGCAGAAGAGATGGATGAATTTATATGGTAAGAAAGCACTTCCAGATTCATTACCAAGCGCTGGACTATGAGGAGGTGAATGAGGGGAGAAAAAAATGTGACTATCAATTCAACTTGTATGATGAATGACACAGAAATAATAACATAAAGCATAAAGAAAGGGCCCTGAAAAATAAGAGGCAAACTTTGAAAAAGAATCAGATAGAAATTCTAGATATAAAAAATATAGTCGTGGAAATAAACATAGCTCAGGGGATGTGTGAAACAGCCAGTCAGATTCAGCTGAAAAGAGAATTATTGAACTGGAAGAGAAGACTGAGGAAGTAACTCAGTTTCTAGCACAGAGTCAGAAGGAGACCGCAAATACAAAAACAGGAAGCATGAACGACAGAAGGACACAGCCCGACAGATGGCTGAAAGTAACTGCTAAAGACGAGACCAGAGAAAGTAGCAAACAGTTGAGAAGATCACGGCTGTAATTCCCCAGAATTGGTGAAAAATAAATCTTCAGCCGCTAGAAGGAAAACAAGACTCAGGAGCAGGATGAATAAAAATAATTTCACTTAAGGAGGTGAAACCACATAACAAGAACAAACAAACAAAAACCTACAGATACCTGGAGAGAAAAGAACGTCTGATTGTTGTTTGAACAGATCACCTGCCAGGAGAATTTAAATCAACACAGAAGAGGCCAGCAGGAAATAGAATAATCCCATCAAAACACTTAACGGAAAATTACTACCAACCGAGAAACCCAGATCCATCTGAATTCAGGATTGAGAGTGAAATAAAGATACGTTTATAGAAATCTTGAAAGAGCTTACTATTCGCAGACTCCTGTTGCAAGAAACAGAGAAAGATGTACACGGGGAAAGGAGACATCAGGTACAAGAAGCAAAGGTAAATGGTTACTAAAATATAATAACAATGATGAATATTAGGATTCTTAAAATGTACAACTAAAATACTAAATATTTACGGAGTCTGTTTGGAAGTCCCTGCAGGTCTCGGAGAGGGGAAAGTTACTACGTGAAGACCATTAACCGCTGAAAGAACAGAAATTAGATGTTTAAGCTCAAAATCGATGCAGGGAGGTGGGAAGAGGGAATAAAGAAAACTCAGTCCCATGGAAAACAAAAAGCAGGGAGGACAAGAGCAAAGACCATGCACGCGAGCTGAGGCCAACAGGAAATCCGTGGACCCCGACCGATTTGCTCTAGCTTTGCGGATGATTTAGTTTATTAGGTCAGGAAATGAAGGGACACGCCACACATTCTAATGAGCTCGCAGCTGACCGCCAACTATTTTGAGATACCAGGGAAGGGGAATCATCTTTAATAGGTTTGGAAGAATAGTCACTGGAACAAGGGAGCAGGTGAGGTGCAAGCACTTTACATTTTCCCCAGACAGCCCTGCCAAAAAAAATCTGAGAGAAAATCAGGAGTCTCGGACGAACCCACCCATAGAAATGAGCTGTTAATTCATCCCGGAGGAGCGGCACATGCTGCTGAAACACAAAACTAACTAATGTGGTTGTGCTAATGTGGATGTTCAATCATTTTGCAATTTACAAACTGAGATGCCCAAGTGTACTCCTCTAATTTATTAACCAATTATCCACCCGAGCCCACCGCTTCCAAACAGCACTCCGTGTGGTTCCTGGGCTGACGGCAGGACAGCAGTCCCTTCATGGACCCTGGCTTTTCCTCCTTCTGCAGGCCTTGCTTGTATTTGGACAGAAGCCTTTTCCCGCAGTCCTTCCGGAAGCAGAGGTGCAGACATGGAGATTGCACCAGAAAGGACAAGGAGCAAGTTTAGGGTAAGTTCATAAAGGGACAGAATTTGGTAACATCACAGATCATCCTGTGTGATGATACTGCATTTGAGGAGATCCATTTACTCCTGAAGGCTATAGAAGGTCATCTCCAAATGAAAATGAATGCAGAGAAGCGCTTATGTAAATTGCCCAATGGGCAGAGGTTCTTGCCCGGTGCTGGGCACTGGGAGAATGCAAAGGAGTCAAAGGTCATTCCTGCCCTTCAGGAACCAGATCTAAACTATAGCATAACAACAGCCGTCTTTTTGTTTGCTTTTGCAAATTAGTAGGCATGCTTTGAGCTCCCGGGTGCTGGGCAGTGTAGGAACTGGTGGGGTCTGCGGGGGCGAGGGAGATTAAGACAGGGGACTTGGGAGGTCTACCACAAGAGTAATGATCCACGCCACGTGAATGAGAAGTTAATGCAGTTAACAGTGAATGGGAAAACAAAGCCTAGAAGCAGATCTGCCCTCACCACAAAATGGTTACATGAAATAACCTTAGCCCCACCACTGGAGGGATTTAAGAGAGAACTGAGTGATCATTTCTAGAGGTTGCAGAGAAAATGTACTCATCAGGTACTGGGATCGGATTTTATTCCTCCACGGTTTCCCCAATTCCTTGCTCTCCCTATTCCACCATACTGTAAAATGGGTCTCATTCACTCATTCATTTATTCATTCATAAGAAGTAGTGTAACGAACACGCATGAGAATAATTAGAACATGACCTCCACCTCACACCACCTAGCCTTCCTCTCATATTATTACGCTGTTCCCAACTTTATTTTCCGTGAAATCTTACCCAAAACGGGTGCAAGCAGAGTTTAGGTTTGCGGTGTTTGGGGAACTCTCGGATTTGAACTCCGTTCAAAATCATAAGCTAGCTCAGTGCCGCTCAACGTGTGGTCCCCAGACCAGGGGCCAGTCTATAAACCGTGTATTACTGGATCCTGAAGAAATAAGCTCAAGCCAGAATGTGACTCGACCATATCACTCGGGGACACTCGTTTAGTTCAGTTAGCGCTTTTTTCACAGCAAGACCTTCTCAGCGAAGAAAGCAGGATGTCGGTTTACCTTTCAGCACAAGCTCATCACAGTCCAGCTATCGATGGCTAAGGTCCATTTCTTAGCGCCTAGAGTCGACGATCACGTAGGGCTGCAGGGCTAAGCCGCGCACACACACACAGGTACTGTCAAGGGAGAGCAGGAAATACTGACCGGTACAGTTGGCTTCATCAGACCAGTCCCTGCAGTCATTGTCCCCATCACACACCCAGGAGGAGCGGATGCACATGCCAGAGCTGCAGCTGTATTCATCACGCCGGCACTGGTGCATTTCTGCAGGTGAGATCACAAACACAGAGCTGTGAGGACCAATGCTTACTCGGAAATCCGTCCCAAATCGAGCTCAGGCGTCGGCGCTCCCACGGGCTAGAGATGCATGCATTATCCGCATTGTTATCCCTGATCGTCCGGAGACAGAGTGGACTTTAACCAGGGAGGCCAGCTCATCGAGGAGGGACTCCAGGTGTGCTGACACCCTCACATTCCGCTTTTAAAGATTTTATTTATTTATTTATTTATTTATTTATTTGAGAGAGGCAAGTGGGCGGGGGGAGAGGGAGAGGGAAAATCTCAAGCAGACGCCTCGCTGAACGTGCAGCCTGGTGCAGGGCTTGATCCCAGGACCCCGAGATCAGGACCTGAGGCAAAATCAAGAGTCAGACACTTAACTGACTGAGCCACCCAGGCGCTCCCGACACCCTCACATCCTTGCCACTGGTTGCCTCCGGGCCAAGAGCAGCATTACCCATGTAGCTCAGCGCACTTCACAAATATTGTCTAAGCTTGCTACAATGGGAAGGTTAGGAGGCAATGCTCCAGTTGCCCAGAAAGGAGAATCCTCAAGAACTCCCAAGAAACAGAAGCCTTCTAGAGACAGCGCCTGTGGTTTCAGAAAAGGAGTAATGAGAACTCCGAGTGAGCTGATCAGTACGAGATGCTCAGATTGGGGAAAGCGAGATCAGTGCCGAGTTCCCAACATAGATGAAACTGGGGACCTTCTGTGGGCAGAGCTCCAGGGCTGCTGGCTGATGGGCTGCCTCTAGAAAGGTGGGTTCCTGAAGTAAATGAATCCGTGCAGCCTGACCAAGACTTGCAAGCAGGCTACGCTGACAACATCTTTTACATACCCTGGAAATGTCATCCAAATGGCATTTCAAAGATCCTATGGAAACAGGGGTAGCCAAGCCTGGGGCCAAGGTGGCTGCCTGAGTTGTGTCATCCAGGAGACAAGTTGATGGTGAAGTTGGGGATTTAGATATTTGCGAAGAAACAGTCTGGAGACTTATGAAGAGGACCTGTCTCTGAGGATATCAGGGACCGAAACCCTGGGATGGATTCGAGAGACATTAGCATGAACAGACTGTGAACAGGGAATCTGATGCAAGCCCAGTACGTGAGAGAGATGATATCACTGCAGTCTCCTTCCTACTGAGCTGTGCCCTTCAACCCTGTGCAGGTGCTAAGGAGGAGGTGGGAGGAATGCAGGGAAAACAGCCCTGAATCCCAAAGACTGCTTTCCACAACTTTCTATTTTTACAAAGATGAGGGAAAACGATGGGACCCCCGTACACATAAAATTCCTCTGAGAGCCAGCCAAGGGGCATTTCCCCTGCCCCCCTCGTTTCAGTCCCTGGGGTCAAACGACCTGCTGGTGAAAAAGCAGGCCCCGTCCATAAACACATGCGCAGCTAGACTGAACCTGACCCACGGGTGGGCAGGGAGAGCCACCAACTCATCACGCTGTCTGGGTCCACATCTGGAACCACGGGCTCCGGGTCCCCATCCTGACACAAACTAACAGTGTCACCTGGAGTAAGTCCCCTCAGCCATTTAACTGGAAATTAAGAGGACTGAACTAGAGAACCCCATCACTCCTGGCAATTCCATCATACTGTTTTTCTAAATGTAAAAATTTCCATTCAGAAAACAGATGTTCGAACAACGTTTGTGCTATCTGCTGGCTTCCAGCAGAGTTTACTGAATTAGATTGGTTTAAAAAAAAAAAAAAACCACATTCATAAAGGTATAGATCTGTGTCTTCAGGAGGCTAATCTCGTAGCCACCCAGACATGTGGGCCAAGTCTACGTCATATAGAGCTGTTAATAACCACCTAAAATCAGTTAGAAATCTTCCTTACTATCACATTCATGCTTACAATATCTCTGGCACGGTAAAGCAGGGTCCATGATCTTTCGAATGAATCATTCCTACTAAGGGGACAGAGGTGGTCATAGAGCTGGGTCTCCGAAACCCTGATGGGGGCATCTGGGTGGCTCAGTCGGTTAAGCGTCCGACTCTTGGCTTCAGCTCAGGTCATGATCTCGGGGCCCTGGGATGGAGCCCCACTTTGGCCTCTGTGCTCAGCGAGGAGCCTACTTAGGATTCTCGAGTGCTGTTTCTCTCTCCCTCTGCCCCTCCGCCTCTCCCATGTCTCCCCTCCCCCCACCACCTGCACACACATGTGTGTTCTCTCTCTCTGGAAAAAAAGAAAGAAAGAAAACCCCAAGATGCTTTCGGAAATCCTCCATCTGCAACTCACGGAAGCCCAGGGAGCAAGAGTGCTGCCCCGCTCAGAAGTGGGGTCCCTGGACATCATGTCCCCTTACCGCAGTGACTTTCATCGCTGTTGTCTCCACAATCATCCTCAAGGTCACATTTGTAGGACAGTGGGATGCAGGTCCCAGACTCCTGGCAGCGGAACTGGGTGTCCAGATCACAAATGGTAGTAGCTAAAAGGGAAGAGATGACATACTCATGAGGAACAATTTATCCCCCCACCCAATACACACATCCCCATGGAAAACGAACTAAAACAGAGAAGAAAGCAGATTTGAATTGCAGCAACAGACCAAAAATACAAAAAAAAATTTTACAACCAAGGAAAAGAAGAGCCTATCTTTCCATGGAAGTTTCCAGATGGGCACCGGGCTGGGAGGGTGAGAAACTGCCCTCCAGCTGGGAGAGAGACTGATGGGCCGGATCACCTCCTACGACCCCTAAGTCAGCAGCAGAGATACCTTCATCTAGACAACGACCATGAGGAAGCCCAATTCCACACGAGAAGCTGGCACCTCCCCGTTATCGATGACACGGGGAGTGTTGGGCAAGAATCTGGGCCCTGTCATCAGGCGGGACTGGGTTTCAGATCCTGGCTCTGCCTCTGCCTCGAGCAATTAATTAACTTTAACCTCCTTGAGCCCGTTTAGGACACAGGAGGAGGATAAGGTCATGTGGCCAAGCACTGTGATGACAGAAAGACTAGATATGGATCTCAATTCTATAGTTCATGTAACCTAACTGATCCGTGCCTCTGTTTTCTCTACTGTAAAACAGAGATAATAGAACACCTACCCCGGGGCAGTTTATGAATGTAAATAAGCAAACCGGTTTGGGACCAGAGCCCATTACATAAGGCTGCAAAACACACTAGACTCCAAACAAATGTCATGCGTCTTCCTTGTCCTTCCTCTGCCCTCCTGCACCAGAATGGGTATAGACGTAGACCATTCTCCCTCTTCTAAGCAGAAAAGTATCTGGGGGTAAGCACAATCCCTAGAACCCAGCAAAAAGACCCTCCAGGCAAGGCTTTGGGAAGGAAGGCTGTGCTCAGGAGGGGCTGACACGTAAGGCACGATGTGACAGAACAGAATCCTGGGGTGGGGGGTGAGGGGTGCCGGGAAATGAAAAGCCAAGGGCAACGCTATACAGTTAGACATCCCAGCGGCTCTTATTTGAGGCTCCATTTCTTCTCTGTAATTGAGCTCATGGTGGGAGGCAGACGATGAATACAAAATGACAAGGCTGCAGGGGATTCACGTCAAAACCCGGAGCGCCTGACAACTACCCAGCGCAGGAGTCTGTGCGCGGGAGGGAGATGTGCTGACAACATCTCTCCCCGGCTCCCCGGTCACCACTCCCACTCTGCTCCCCAGGCGGCTGCCTTTCACTTCCCAGACAGCAGCCCCACCCAGTCGCAGCCTGCCCCTTCCCTGCAGCCCTGCCCGTGGACGGTGCGCCTCCACCATCAGGATAAGCACGACTCTCCTCCTCCTGGATAAGGGAGCCACTCCTGCAGGTGCGATCAAGCACCACTCTCCTGGTTCCCAGGCTCCATATTTTAACCCCTGTACCCCTCCTCAGGGCCTCCCCTTTGCCAAGTGGAATGAATGGAGAAAGAGCAGAGCAGCGAGCAAGTCCCGGGAATGTCAATCCCACCTGACGCTGACACCAAACCAGGAGGAGGGCAGAGCCGGCTGCACACTTGACCCAGAGGAGCAGCGTGAACTCTGCGTGGAAGCCTGTGAGACCAGCACTGAGCTCTGGCACTGGGGGAGAGGGGGAGAGGGCGCCCCTCCTGAAGATGGACGGAGCTCCCTCTCTCAGAACACTGCACCAATACAAGATCCCCGCTTGTCATCTAGTGGAACCCAAAGCCCCTGGGTGGAATCCCCATCGATCAGACACAAGGTCATCTAGTTTAAATCTCTCTGCTTCCACTAAAGCCTAATCATGTCTGGGCAATCTTCGTGCAATGTGCTAATTCTAAGAAGTGTCTCCTCGCCCACCCCATTACGTAATAAAGTCCTTTCCAGGCTCGGTTCCAGTGTTGTTAATATTTATTGTTTTTAAGGAGCTTTGGCTCTTCCCCCACAAATATCACCCCTTCCTGAGACTCTGGTAGGTAGAGAAGGCTTTTATTGGTGTCCTTTTTGCAGAGAAGAAAAAACACACAGACAGCCTAACGCTTCTCCAAATCTGCCATTCAGTAAGCTCTTCTCCCTGCCTGTGAATGGCATCCACTGAAACCAGGGAAAAATGATTAAGAAAAGGTTTGTTAAATAACCTCCTAAGCACCAGCAAGGGCAGCACATAGTTTTGCTGGGCCCGGACGAGTTCAGGGAGTTGACTGCTTCTAAGGTTGCTTTCTGGCTGGAGGGACGTGGGAACCTGGCGCGGACTCCACACATGGCTGGCTACATATGACCAGCCCGGAGCCAGGAGTCACCCCCTACCCTGTTCTCAGAGCACAAAATGGCAAATGAGCTTCTGGATTCCCAGTGGGAAAATATTTGCAAGAGAAGCCTTCACACTGGTTTCTGGCTTCCCTGCTTCCGGTCTTCCTCCCATCCAGTGCCTTCTGCCCACTGCTTACTTTTCCAAAGACAAGAATCTGATCATATTATTTCAGTGGTTCTCAACGGCTCTTCTGAGTCAAGTCCAAAGGCACTTGCTGCTCCGGGCACCCTCACTAGCCCGTCTTCACCTTGCCCCATGGCTTCCATATTCATATTATTGATGAGCCACACCAGCTTCCTAACCATGCCACACACACTCTGACCTCTGGGCTTTCATACCTGCTGTTCTCCTGCCGACAGCTATGTTCCCTCCACCTCTGCTTGCTTCACCTCTAACCACCCTTCAGGGCTCTCCATAAATACCTCCCCAAGTTTGATTTGTGTGCTCTTCCTGTATGCATATGCGCTTCCCCATTATAGCACTCACTGGCTCTACCGTAACTGCCCCTCTACTCTTCAGACTCCCCTACGGAGTAAACTCCATGTCCACCTGATCACCTGGTATCCCCAGGCCGAGCACAGAGCCTAGAACAAGGAGTCCTCAACAAATACTTGCCGAGTGAATGTATGAACATATTACTCACTGTCAGAGAGCAAAGCACCTCCTTAGAAGATAATGTCGAAGCTATCAAAAATTAAAACTTTGCAGTAAATTACTCATTTTAAGTAGTTATTTGTCTTTAAACCCTGCTGAACAGAACCATGCTTTAGTAGTGACCCTTAGAAAGCATACAGTCCAAAGATGACATTTCCATGTGCACAGATCAACGCCCCCACATTTCAAGCCAAACAAGGCATCATCAAGCAGTTGGAACCATCTCTCTGGAGCCTGGCGGGCAGCCAATATCCGCTGATTGGACGGCATACAAAATGAAACCTGTTTCCCATCTCTGAAAAGGCTGAATTCACAGATCAAGGGATGTCACCTGGTCCCCAGCTTTATCACGGTGGTAAAGCCACAATGAGAGCCCAGACTGCCCGACTCAGCTCAGTTTCAGCCAGGCGATGCTTACTGGTAAACCCTTTGTAACGAGTAGTTCCCTTACCGGTTGGGGCTTGGGTTCTCAATAACAACCTATATCTAAGTGTCTTCTCTGTTCTCCAAGCCCCATCAGCTCCCATGAGCATCACCGATCACGAGGGGCCACCGGCCGGCACCCCAGGCTGCAGGCCCCCCGCCCGGGCAGAGCTGGCTGGCCAGCCTTCCGAGTACGGCCCGTGCGCCCCCTCCCGAAAGCCCGGCCGAACCGGGAAGACTCACGGCAGTTTCTCTCGTCGCTCATGTCACCGCAGTCATTGTCAAAATCGCACCACCAGATGCTGTTGATACAGTTTCCATTGCTGCAGCGATACTGGTTACGGAGACAGGTGTTCTCTGGACGGCGGGCCGGGCACAGGAAACGAGACACATATTATTCTTATGGCTGGACCGCAAGACTCTCGCTTTTCACTGAGTTTCCATCTCTCTTCCCCAAACAGCACGCCTTACGCGGTAAAGAGGAACAGGGGTGCCAAGCTCACCTGCACGCGGGAGCATACAATAGAGGCCTCTTCCTTTCCTCTTAGTTACAATTTAAGGACAAGAGGCCAGCTGGATAGGTGTCGGGGGTGGTTATAATGGTGAAAAAGGACAGCAATGGTGCCAGTCAGGTCCAATGGGTAGATACCAAACATCGACATTATAAAACACCAGTTATATGAGGAACTGCTTACGGGGCTCTGTCTACACAGTACGAAAACATACGTGTCCCACATATTTGTGGCTATATGTATTTTGTATATACAATTATATATATCCATATATCTTCCATTTTTCAGCCAAGTAGATGACAAAGGATACATAATACTCTGACGCACAGAGAAAAACAAAACAAAACAAAACATTGTTTAGTAAACCCAGACAAGAACACATGAAGGCTGGACTCGTGTTTGGGTCTCCAAAGGCATTCTAAAGGAAAATATTAAAAAGCCTTTCTCTAACTTAAGTGTTAACTCTGTTTCTTTCTAAATAGCTTTAAGATGATGTCTGGAGCCTGAAAGAGAATGTCCTGCGTCTAAGAAGGGAAGGGTCATCCTTTCTCCATGTGTATTTCTTATGGAAAAGGGACCATAGGGCTCCTTTGTGTGCCCCCCTGCCCAGGACTAAGAGGCTTCTGTGAGGAGGGAGGTTGTGATTGCAAAGCCAATATAACCTCGAGAATAAAAAAAAAAAAAAAGCAGGGATTTGAGCGCTTCCTGGAAGGGCCCCCCCTCACTGACAGTAACGTGAGGCGGAGAATAAGAACACAAATCAGACAGGAAAGAAAGATTTAAGACAGGTTTTTAGAGGAAAAAAATTAGAATCTATGTATTCAAAGGAAGGGTGGATGTGGCTGCTAGGGCCACTTCGTCACAGCATGAAGGGAAGCCTCAACGTCTGCAACATCGTTCTGAACGTTCTGGAGGTTTCCGGGCTGGCGGGGGCGGAGGGGGGAGGGGGGAACTTCTGGGTGAACCTCGGTGAGCTCGTGGAGTCCCACCAGTCATTTCTCCAAGTCAGGTGTGGTCCCAACTTACAAGAAGCAGGAGAAGGGACGGGTGAGGAGAGGAAGACGGAGGAGGAGACAAAAAGGGGACGTCGAGAAAGGCCTCTGACATGTGTCATGTCACTGTGTCATCTGACATGAAACCAAAACCACAGCTATCATGTTTAAATAAACCGCGCAGGGCTGTTCCCGATGAGGACTGAGGAGCCCAGGCCTTAGAACCCAGACCAGGACGTCTCTAAGTATCTCGTGGATTTCATTTTTACCGAGGGCATTTTCGATGACGCAAACACACGGGGAATAGAGAGCGCTGGGAGAGGGGAGGAAAGAAGGGAAGGAGGCCGGCGGGACGCACCTTCTTTGACACAGGTGTTGTTCTCCCGCTGGTAGCCCTGAGGGCACTCACACATCAGGTCCCCGGACGGGAGGACGCTGCTGGCCACACCCTCTGGACACCGGCAGCTTTTACTGTTGTTGGCCCTGGGCAGGCAGAGCAGGCTGCACGGCCTGGACACGCAGGCATTGCTTCCTGGGGAGAAGACAGACGGTGGCCGCGGCCGGGTTAATCGGTGCCAGGGAGACCCCGAACGGGGGGCTAAAATCCAAGACAACCCCCTCATTTTACAGACCCGATGGCGCAAAGTCATGATGGGGCCCCGGACAAACATCCACGTCTCTGCTTCTCAACTCCTCCGTGCCCGAGTGCAGCTACCAAGCTGAACGAAGACCCAAGCACAGGGCCCTCATTAGCCTCAGTACTATGTGTCATGCAGTAAACCCACACAAGGACTAGTAAATGTGGACCTGTCCCTACTGCCAATCTTGTCTCTGGTTCGGCTTTCCAAAGAGAGTGCCAGATAAAAGTCCGTAAAATCCTTCACTACAGTCTGGACAGAGAACCTTTGTGGATGAACAGTGATGGAAAAGGTATTTTCCTATCCCCCACATCTTTCCAGGAAGGAGGGGAGAGGACGCATAAATCATTTTGTAACAACTGGAAACACATACAACTATCGAGCAACATAAAAGCCACATAAATTATGAAATGTATATTTGTTCTTTTGGCTGTGACTATTCATCATCAAAATTGGGGAAAATAAACATAAATGCTTTGATAAAACTCAACTGATGATGCTTCTTCAGTTGTGCCATCTCAGGAACAGAGAAAACGCCCCCTCCCCCGCCCCCTCCCCCTGAATCACATCCAAGCAATCTGTCTCCATCCAGCCAAGATTTTAGCTACGTCATGCCTACACTGAGCTGCAGGTTGGAAAACAGGGTTTATTAATGACCATCAGTATTGATATGGGTCATGATACACTCAGTAGCTTTGGAATGTTGGCACTTCATCAGTGTTTAATTGGCATACACATAAAATAAAAATTGCAGGGGCGCCTGGGTGGCTCATTGGTTAAGCATCCGACTCTTGATTTTGGCCCAGGTGGTGACCTCAGGGGGGTGAGATCGAGCCCCGCGTCGGGCTCCATGCTCAGCACAGAGTCTGCTTGGGATTCTCTCTCTCCCTCTGCCCCTCTTCGAGCTCGCACACGTGCACACTCACACGCGCTCTCTCTCTCTTTAAAATAAATAAATGAAATCTTTAAAAAAATAAAAAGAAAAATTGTAATGATACAACAACAGTGCTGTTCCAATGCTAAAGACCAGAGAGTATGAAGCATTACCAAACAGATGAAGTACACACACCCACAGAGGAGAATCCATACAATGAAACGTTCTACAAATAATCCAATCCACTCTAAAGGTAGAGTTACCATAGCAGAATAACCTGCTGACAAGAGCAGAAATGCCAGAAATCAATTCACTCTGACCTGTTCCATGGGCAGAGGCTGTTCCTTTTTCAGAAGTTACACGCCCTAGGCTACAGGGAGGAACACAGAGCTGCCGCTAATGGAAAACAACTCCAAAGGGATCTGGAACATGTTCTCTGTATTCAAAGGACAACATATCATTTAATGTTCCAAGAAATTGAACAATAACAGACTCTCCGAAAAATACTCAGGGACAGGATGATAATTTCACGCGGAGCTAGGTCTGTAAAATACCACGACTAACGTGTTCACATGGGGAGCAAATGCTCCTGCCCAAAAAACCAAGAGCCACAAGTACGGAACCCAAAATGGGGTGCGGTATTTCAGGAGGCTGGTCTAGACAGAGATGTATACAGTCTGAGAGGCTGTATCCAGGGCCAAACCCCAAACCAAGCAGACCGAGTCACAGACCCCAGGAGGTAGGCATGGCAGGAGCTTATGGGGTGCCACAAAGCCACAGAGAACCTGGGCGAACATGGAAGGAGTATTCAGCAGAATTCCACCAGAACACGGCCACAGACTCTTTCTATAGGATGCTGCAGTCTCGTGTGGGCAAGGCAGGTAGATGTGAAGAGTGGACAAGTGACAGTCATCACCTCCAAAGACGTCCCCTTTGAAGATAAAAGAGCTGCATGATGTCTTCATGGGGCAGATTCGGAACACATTCAGATTTCCTCTTTGGAAAACTCCTCCAGAACTTGTCTAGGAGCCAGAAATGCTATTATCTTGCTTAATTATCTCTACGCTTGACAATTATCAAAATCAAATCCACCCCATCGAGTAAGTATTTGCCCTCACTGTAGGTATTTAAAAGCCCTGGCTTACTGCAGACTCTGAAGGACAATTCCCAGAGCTCCAAAATATTTTCATCCATTGCAACACCAACTTGATATATCAACAACCTTGCAAAGTAAGCTCTTTAAAGAAAAAGCACTCTTTATGAAGAACAGATCCCAGTGACACTACATAAAAATCCACCAGACATAAAGATTAAGAAAGGCATCTGTTGATAACCAAATAACCCAAATGGACCAATGTTCCAAGTGAACAAAATTTTTATCACAAACAAGAATCAATCAAAATCTAGTACTTCTATATTGTTGTCATATACCAGGACACCGCTATTCCAACAACAGATGATAAAGGGAGCAGAGCTTAATGGTTTTATCAAAGTCAAGCTCAAAAGTCCATTAGGCCATGGTTCAAATTCTTACCACTTACTAAATATGTGATGTAGAAACATGAACCTGACTTTCATGTCCTCATCTAGAAAATGGAAATATTATCACATGGGTTTTGGGAAGATGAACGGAGGTTATTCAAGCCCACAAAGCACCTCAGTGTGTAATCCCTTCATATATGTAGGTGATCATGTGTATTATTATCTTACGCATGGCTAATAGGCAGTCCTGTATGTGTTCAGAGCAGACAACAAAAATAATAAAGAATGACCGGCACCAGGGGTGGCCCATAGGCAAAATGAATTTGCAAAACAGTGTCCAAAAAAGCAAGCAGGTTAGAGCAAACAAGTTCAAGGCCGAGAGGCACCCACTGCACGCAGGCGGCTCTGGCAGCCAGATGCCATTTCAAAAGCTTTCAGTGAACCCAGACGAGCCCATCTGAGAGATCTCAGCTTTGCTTCTCTGGCCCTGTGCCTGCGGGTGAGAGCTCGGCCGCAAGTATCCTGCTCACACAAGGGAGAAAAAGGGAATCCAAAAGTCCAACGGAGGAACGGGGGAAGGGGCAAGGAGGGGGCAGCGACCGGCCATGAGGTTGCACGGTCCTGGGTCTGCGTTCTACCCATCGGCACACGCCTCCTCCAGCCAGACCCCAGGCGGACTCCCAGAATTACTTCGGATGGTTTAAGTGAAGGTGACTCTTTCAGGCATGAAGAAGACAACAAAGGCACATGCTGTGACCACAGACCATCCTCCCTCCCACTCCCCAGGACCCAGCTGTGACTGTGCATCAGCTGGAATGGGGCAAGCGACCAGCCGAGACCGGGAAGCGGGGAGCCCAAGGATCACGGGTTCACCGGAACACGGTGTTTCAGGAATGGTCGTGTGCTCAGCAAGCACATGCTTGCAAGCACCTGTCAAAAGGAAGACCTGCTTTCCGGACTGAGCTCTAACTCAGAGAAATGCTGATAATTCACTCAGCTTGCTAGCGATGCCCATCAGCAGGGGCTCGGGGTCCTCCATCAAACAAAGGCCCTGAGTTTCAGCCTTGGGACCCCAGAAGCAGGAGTCCTTCATCTCTCCCTATTTTAAAATAGGCACCTCCTCTGGGAAGAATGTGACTCCTCGATTGAGCAGCAGAACTGGAACAAAGGCCCAGCTCCTACACTAGCAAGGGACCTTTGAGAAACCTAATTCGCCCCTGAGATGCCGTTCCCTGATCTAGGAACCATGGATCATGATACCAGCCCCACCCACATCCCAGGTCCGGTGCAGTCCTAACAATAATACAGACTTACATTTCTAAAGTTCTTTACCGTTTCACAAGGGTATTCTCAATGCTATCTTCACTGGTCCCCCCGCAAATCACAATGATATCTATAACCATCTTTTTCCCCTTTGTCAATCTTCTCTTAGCAAAGCCAAAACCCACAAAACAACGTCAACATTGTGCTGCCAAACAGGAAACCTAGCAGTTTGTCAATAAAGGCGAGTCAGCAGAGCCAGGATGCTATTTAATCCTGCTGAGATAAACAGGGTGCTTCTTAAAGGGACTATTCTTCCCGGAGCATCCTGCTCTCTCTGTCCTGTAGAGCCCACAGTGTGGGTAGCACACAGAGGGAGAGGGCGGAAAGTAAGGAAGGAGGCTTTCTGCGGCACAGTCTCGGTCTCCAGGACCAGCAAGCAGGTCACAAGCCTTGGAGCAGCTCTTGAAGCCTCACCGAACAATCTTTAAGACAGCTACTGTCCACACCCACTGGCAACTGGCCCCTTTTCATGACCTCTGCCAACAAAGACTGAGCCCTACCGAGTGCTAGGCAGTGGCCAGACTGTTGTCTCGGGGGGCGGCGGGGAGGGGCGCAGACATGATCTCCTTCTTCGTGGGGTTTAAGCGTTTCAGGCGGGGACACGTGAATTAATGCGTCATATAACGACGCCTCGCATGACAAGGGGGCAGGTGCTCAATGAGCCACAGGTCATCTGGGCAGGCAGAGGACGAGACAGGACTCCCATCGACAGGCAGCAACTGGAGGCACACCCAGCAAAGCACTGCTCCCTGGGAGGTTGCCAGATGGGGAGGAAGCACACGCGGGGCTTCTCCAGCTGCAGCAGAAGCTACGCCACCCATCAGTCAGGGGCCAAAGGCGGGAGGAGGGTGTAATTACCCACCAAGCATCCCACTCTAGGCAGGCGAAAACACGCTGTCTTCCAGCTGCTTGTGTACCGTTAGAAAAGCAATTAAGAGGTCATTAGGCAGAAATTAAATAATGGGCATGTTGTCCCGACAATAAAGACGCAGGCTGTCAGCTCCTGCCCGGGCAGAGATTGCCCACGCCCAGCCCCTTCCTGGAGATCACAGTGCGGGAGAGATGAAGCCGGCGACGCAGCCTTCCTTACCAGTTGTCCTGCCCTTGTAGAAAATCTTCATGTCCATCAGCCCCGTGAGCTGACTCGCGAGAACAGCCACCTGGGAGCCGCTGTATTTGGAAGCTCGGAAGATGCTGAGCTGCGACCAGTCATCCCAGTAGATCTCATTCTAGAAAGAAAACCTTTGCTCGTCAGTCCAGCTCCTGGGTCTCCAATCCTGGGCCCTCAATAAGAACAAGGGTTCACTCATACAGAGGACACCTAACATTCCGTGGTGAGGGATCAGCCCGACCAAGATTTCCACTGAAATGCAAGGCAGTGGATTTGTCCAGACCTCACCCAAGAGTCACCCTGAAGGAACTGGCTGGCAGACACTACCTGAGAAGCATTCAAGTTTGACCACAGCCCAACCCTTCAGTTCGAAATCTGCTTCCCAGTGGCAGGAAAGACCAACCATTCTGTTCTCTAGAGTCAAAGCAGCAGTGGCTGGCCCCACGGGTGGGATGGAGCCCATGTGAACCCATCAGGACACGAGGTGAGCAGGAGACGAGGACACCGAGCCCAAACTACCGGCACTCGAGGGCAAAAGGGGATTTTTCTATGAAACAACCTTTAACCTTCTGAACTGGGAACAGTGAGCAGTCCCAGACGCCTGGCAACTCTGTCTGACATCCGTCCAGATGCGCTAAAGAAAACAGTCTCAAATCCAGAAGTGAGCTGATTCTTCTAGAAGTTAGTCAGACAAGCATCTCTGCAAAAACCCAAGGTAGCAGCTCTTCACCTCAGTACACTCTTCACCTGCTCTAACAGACTGCCCAAAGCTGGGAGCAAAGGAAGTCCCACCTTAAAGACGGCAATGGCGTAGGGGTGGGGGAGGTTGTCCAGGATGATCGAGCGCTGCTGGCCATCAAAAGTGATCCGCTCGATGCAGTCCAGGTAGGCATCTGTCCAGTAGACCCACTGGTCATCCACAGAGATGCCATTGGGCCACTTCACATCCTCTGACACAAGACGATGGACGGCAGAGCCATCCATATTGCTCCGATAAATTCCCGGCTTCAGGTCTCCCCAGTCGGTCCAGAACATCACCCTGGTCAAACCGGGAAAGAACACACATCACATCCGACCTAGGGAATCGGGAGTGAGATACTATCCCCAAGAGGAAAGAAGCCTCTCTAGAACTGGAAGGCCAGTTAGTTTGGCAGTATTATTATCATAAGCCGTAATTATAATACTTAACACCCTGAATTTCTTGCCCCAGAAATTCCTTTGCTGGAATTTATCTACAGATACAATCAAGTTATGTGACGACAATGTACAAAGACATTCATCACAGCATTGTTCATACTAGCAAAAAAATTATGTATGTCTTATGTGTGTATACACACACACATATACTTTTAGGTGAATATATGTGTATACACGCCAACAGGTTAATCTACAGAGAAAGTGATAGATGATGGTACATACAATAGAATATTTTGATGCCTAAAAATCTGCATGTTTTCATGTGTGCTCACGTGAAAAGATCATCTTCAACCCATGTTAAAGGTTTTGAAAACACGCAGAACAGTAAATATCTACAATTCTATTTCATGCATGAGTGTGTGTGTGTCCGTGTGTCTTAAGGCTACGTGCTTGCACGTGGATAAAAAAGAATTCTGAATGATACACAAGAAACTACTAACCACGATTACCCCTAGGAAGTATGAAGGAGAAGGGTTAAGAGTGAAAAAGGAGGAAACAAATATTTTTCATTTCGTAAACTTCTGTTCTCTTAATATTTTTAATGAAGTACATATATATTTTTCCTTTTAAAAAATAGATCTAGGGCGCCTGGATGGCTCAGTTGGTTAAGCAACTGCCTTTGGCTCAGGTCATGATCCTGGAGTCCCTGGATCGAGTCCCGCATCGGGCTCCCTGCTCGGCGGGGAGTCTGCTTCTCCCTCTGACCTTCCCCCCTCTCATGTACTCGCTCTCTCTCATTCTCTCTCTCTCAAATAAATAAATAAAATCTTAAAAGAAAAAAATAGATCTAATTCTCAATCATAAATACTAGAAGGATAGAAAGCCTAATGCAGAATTTTCTTTTAGCTATGTTTCTTTAAGTTAAGAAATTAATTTAAAGAACACTTTTGCATTTCCCATATAGCATATAAATTGCTAGTAAGAAAACCTGTGGGGGTTGGGCAGGGAAGAGATGGAAGGGATCATATGTTTGCATCATGCACCAAACTTGAGACAAAGAATCCTCACAATATCTAACCAGGCCTGACTACGCTGTATCTACGGAGAGACTTTTAATAATACCTTTCGTTGCAGAAACACCCCACAGATGTGAGACATCTGGATGTGGAGACTCTGATGCTTGCTAACAAAAGGGGAATGGAGTTACCTGACAAGATGACTGAGCTCTGGTTTCAAGACTCAAAGTCAACAGATTATTTCAACCGCAATCATCAGAAACAAGTTTGTGTCCGGCAGTTGGCACTTCCACGAGCAGACAGATGTCTGTTGGCAGCATCCGCCACATGCTGATTTCCTCTGGGGCCACACTTACCCGTCTTGGGGCAGGAGGACCAGAGCCCTGGGCCGGTCGAGCACAGAGGAGTTGACAATCGTGAGTCGGAAGTCACCATCTGGATTAGCCACCTGACAAGAAATAGGAGGGGGCGGGGCCTGAGGGGAGGCCAAGATGGATCTGAGCTCCTTGAAAGCCCACATCACAGTTTCCTGCTGGGCTGCCGCCCACAGACACGCATCTCTGTGGGTGCCTGATTCCCCTGCAGACTCATCTGGGAAGCCTGCCCTGACTTCGGTCAGAAGGAGCTGTTCCCTCCTCGGGCTCATGGGACAATCCTTACATGGTCTGACAGACGGGCCAGTGCTGTGGCCCATGCCCCGGTTCTGGGGGCATGAAGACAGATCTGAACAAAGTCCTCAGGACGTATTATTTATTTATCCCACCTACGCTGCTCCATGCTCCAAAGCCACCAATGGCTCCACACGGTCCACACAGCAAATATTCAACATCCCAGGCCTTACAATTAAGAATCTCCACAGACTTGGGCACCTGGGTGGCTCAGTTGGTTAAGCGACTGTCTTCGGCTCAGGTCATGATCCTGGAGTCCCTGGATCGAGTCCCGCATCGGGCTCCCTGCTCAGCGGGGGGTCTGCTTCTCCCTCTGACCCTCCCCCCCTCTCATGTGCTCTCTCTCATTCTCTCTCTCTCAAATAAATAAATAAAATCTTTAAAAAAAAAAATCTCCACAGACTTTTAATTCTCTCTCCTCCATATTCTCTGTCGTCCACTTCAGCCCCGACAACTTCAGGGAGGCCGGCCTTCTCATGGTTCTCGAAACCTGACATACTCCAAGTTGTCTGTCTGCTCTCAGCGTGTCCCGTCCCGGGCCTGTCCTCTGCTCCATAATCAAATCGCGTCTCTCCTTCAGAACTCCCCTCCAGGCCCAGCTCCTCAGCTAACTCCTCTGACCTGCCTTCCTCAACGAGCATCTACAGTTCTTGCCAGTGACTCATCTTACCATTTCGCACAAACAATACCTGCGCGGTGTGGACACTTACGCTTTACGGCATTCCTCCAGCACCTGGCAAAGCGCTGACCACACACAGTTAAAGAAGGGAGAGGCACGGTAATAACAAGACCACCGATGCCCCACTCCGTGCGTGTGAGGCATTGTGCGTCTTCTCACTCGCTTCCCCCAGCCACACTCTGAGGTGGACACCACCCCCTCCTCAGGGCTCGGCTCGGGCGCCACATCCTCAAGGCCTTCCTGCCCCCTCCGCAGTCACACGATCACACTGCCCCATTGGACAGGCCCTCTAGGACTCATCGCTGACAGAGCTGATAGACGTATGTCTTCAGTGGTTTGCTTCCTCCACTCACATCTCCTCTCTCTCAGAACAGGAACTTGTGTGTCTCACCTACTGCTGTATCCTCACGGCCTCAAAGCATACCTGGCAGGCACCATGCAAGAAAGAGCACCCGTCCGACGACGGGGTGGATCAATTCTGTCTCACAGACACTGGAAACTGAAGCTTCAGGGGATAAGAAACTCGCCCGAGGCACTTAAGCTACCAGAATGAAGACTGAACCCAGGTCTGGCGCTCGACTTTGGGACTTTCGTCTTGGTGACTTCTCCCGATGGGGACTCCCTGCCGCTGCTGAGCTTTCCACGTGACCCACACGCCGTGTCCCCCCGTAGTTGGTACAAAGTGGGGCGGAGACAATGAGCCAGGGCCTCAGCCTTGACTTCTGGGAGGTGAGTGTGCCTATGAGACCATGACTTTGGTGTTGGAGGGGCCCTTTCTTACCCTCATGTGGCCTTAGGTCGCTGAGGTGCAGATAAGTAAAGTGGGCAAATAAGAGCACTGTTAACAGGGTTGTCATGAGAACTGAATCCAATAATTCGAGCAAAGTGCTTCCAACTGGGCTTGGCACAGAATAAGTGCTCGTTGTCATCAATAATCATAATCATGATCATGATATTGTCTTAATTACTCTAATCAACTCCAATAATACTAGAGCACTGACAATACAGCACTATACTAATGCTATGGTATTATATAATTATCATTATTGTTACCACCACACGCCTCAGCTAGCCAAAATAGAACCATTCGGGGCATCTTAATGAAATCTCTGACGGGTTCAGGCATCCTGTTCTCACGTGGGACCTTCAGGACAATGAGCATGAATTCTGAAACTATCCCCCTTTTCTTCCTTTCCCGGAGGCTCCGCTGGTCCATTCTCTGGAATTCTCAAAGAATTTCCAGAGAAGTCGGACACACTGGCTCCGCCCCCTGTGTCAAACCTGGCTCGAAGCCCAGGTGCTCCCCCTGCATGCTTAATTAAGGACAGCAAGGGATACACATACCTCGATCTTTTTAAAGCCAGAGTCCACCCAGTAAAGTAATTGGCTGAGGGGTTCAAAAGCCAAGGCTTCTACGGTCTCCAGGCCAGAATTGATGATCACCTCTTGCCCTGTACTCCCATTCAAACAGAGGCGCTGAAGAGAGGGTGGGAAAAAAGGCTGTGAGTACGCGAATGACCTCGTGCCAGCTCAAGTCCCGTGGACGGCAACCCTTTACTCCACGGGCTTTGACCGGCAAGGGATGAGATGTCTTCTATCAGTAAACGTTCCACATGGGCGAAGCCGGTTTTTAACAAAGCTTTTCTAAAATGTATTAACGGCTTCCTGTTTCAAGGAGACTCTAGAGCTACACAGAACTTAATCATTGATATTACTCGGCATCATCCTTATGAACGCTGGTAACTGAACAACGCTGTATCCCAATAATGAGGTCGGAGATTACTTAGAAGCATGAGTCTGTTTGCTTTTGAAATAAATGAAACCAGACTGCTGTTATTTTTAAGTTCTTGAGTCGGCTTTTCTAGGCTCTCCTCCCTTGGGAAGCTCCTGGCCGTCAGGTGCTGTCCCTGGGACAAGCTACACTGAGCGGTCGCTGGCGTCCCCCAGCCCCAGCCCCTCGGAAACCCAGGCACTGTAACATTTCTGCTGGGTTGGAAGTCCGGATAAAACTTGTTGGAATTGCTTTTCTAAAAAGGATTAAATAGGCAATGAATAAAGATCAAATAGCTCTCCTTTAAAATGCATGAGCTTGAGTCTATGGCTATCTATCTGGCCCGTGTGGGGATCTTTATAGTTCACTTGCTGGTTCTTGGCTGTGTTCCGAATAGCTGAAGTGGGTAATTACGTGAACTGCGGGTACGTCAAGTGTTCCTGTATCATGGCTCGGGAAGAAGGTCGCCTCAGAGGCAGCTGGTGTGATAGTAACTCATCATCCTATACTCTTAGTCCTCAAATCTTCCCAGCAGGAAAAGGGAAGTCTCACTTACAAGTAAGATGGCAGAGTTGGGGCTCCCTTAGTCCTTCCTACGAGGACAGAGGTGGGCAGGGCAAGAAAATACCAAAACAGAAGAATGCAAGGTTTCATCCATCAGCCCTGAGAGGAGTTACGACTTAAAATGTCTAATACCCATTTCCCTAGGCCGTCCTGAAGGAAGCTTATCAGGATTGGGCAGTCACAAGGCATGGCCCCCACGAGCGGACCGAGGGTTGACGTACCTGGATGGTGTCCAAGGCCAGGTCAGACCAATACAAGCAGTTGTGCTCATAGTCAAAGTCCAGGGCCACTGCGGCCCGTAGCCCCGTGAGGGGCAACTGCTCGGTGGCTCCCGAGGCCAGATCATAGCGGTGGATGGACTTCCGCATGGCATACAGGATGAATTCGTTCTCCTCTGCACAGACACAGACAAACAACAGAGCGGGTGGACGAGGGGGATGCTGAGGAGTCCTAGCATGTCTGGCCTTTTTTCTGCTCACACATAAACCTCATGGCGCAGATCAAGTGGAAGAGCAACGGAGTCAAGACTGAGAAGGTGTGAAAAGTGGAATCCCATTTCTGCCTTGAGGGGCAAGTTACTTCAACTCCTATAAATCTGTTTTCTCGTCTGCAAACTGTCTTACTTGTTATAATCGTTTTGTTTTTTTTTTAATTTAGAGGCCCCAGTCATGCTCCAACATCCACGCTTCTGAGCTCGGCCCAGAAGTCTTTAGTCACACATGACAAAATAGTTACCCCACTCGGCATGCTCTCCCTCGTCACATGACTGCATCACATGGCACCATAATCATGTTGAGGAGAGACCCTGAGTCACTGAAGACTTGTAGCTAATCTGTTTGCTCACCCATCCAATATTATTCACAATGACATACAGCAATTACATCAACCTATTAGAGTTTCAACACAGTAACAGTACATTTGTCCCTGAACACTTACAAAATGTTTCCCAACAAAATCATCGCAAAGGTCCTATTTCTTCTTGACAAGCCCTGTACAATGTCCATACTACATACCAGGCACTGTTCACTGGTATAATGACTGCATCGTGGAAGGACCACTGTGAACTCAATTTTACAAATGAGAAAACGGACAGCAGAGAGGTTAACGCACTCGAGGTCACACGACTAGTAAGTGGCAGGACCAAGGCTTGAACTCGGGCAGCCTGGATCCAGAATCTGTGTTTTACCCCCTACACAATGCTGCCTCTTGGGATAGAGAGGCTAATGCTGTCCTTTTTTTAAGACACAGAAATAGAGGCCCTGAGTGCTTAAGAAGACTGACTGACTCACGTCAGACAACGAGTAACTAGAAGAGCTGGTGCTCCCTCTCTTCTGCTTAGAGAACAGCATGGAAAACATGCAGATCCTTCTACAGTGATGCACAACACACCTGCATCCATGTCTAACGCGACCACTTTGACGGCAGGCTGCATGTGGGACCTGATCCCCTCTATTGCACGCCCACACAGTGACCGTTTCTCTCTCTCGCCCCCATTCCCCTCATTCAGTGAGTTCACACGCAACAGCTACCCGTGTTACAAGGGCTCCCACACAGATAATGCACCCCAAAAATAAATCAACCTACAGGTTTTGTTTTGTTTTGTTTACGATTTTATTTATTTTTTTGACAGAGACACAGCGAGAGAGGGAACACAAGCAAGGGGAGCGGGAGAGGGAGAAGCAGGCTTCCTGCCGAGCAGGGAGCCTGATGTGGGGCTCGATCCCAGGACCCCGGGATCATGACCCGAGCCGAAGGCAGATGCTTTACGACTGAGCTACCCAGGCACCCCTCGACCTACAGTTTTTAATAAAGGTAAGTTTGCCTTCTCTTCCTTTGGTCTCACTGCACTTCAAAAGTATCTAAGTCACCACCACATGGTAACCGATCTCTTCCTCTGGTTTTCAAGAAAAGCTTCCCACCGCACTTCCCAGTGAAGGGGATCGTTAAGATGAAACCTGCCGAGCCTGTAAATGACCCAGAAACCAAGGACTCTCATCGAAGCTGCCACGGAGAGCCACGGAGGTTACACTCACAGCAAGCCTCCCACCCACGTCTCTAACGTCCGCAAACCCCATTCTGTGGCTTCAGTTTTTCTTCTAACCAACTAATGCCTTTACAGCAGAGCCTGGGTCCAGAAAGACTTGCCTTAGGATTAGGTAGAGAGGAACGTTCTGCATTTCCATGTTCAAAACTTAACTTAGGAACGGAACAGAATTCTTGGCCAATCCCAGCCATACCTGAGCACCGCCTGGACTCTGTGTTATTATAGTAATCATAAAGGAAGGAGGATGACTTCATTTTTAAAAATCCTTCCAAGATGCCCGGACGACCTCCTCTTTGCAAAGATGCTAGAGTTCCCGTCAGCTCTAGGAAAGCTTCCTTTCCTTTCGTGGTATACCCTTGGCTTCTGTGCCACATATTTTTTTTTTTTTTACATTTAGGAGGTGGCCTACATGACAAATGTGATTTTTCCACTTTGTTCCCTGTTCTATTTTTCTCCTCTCAGAAAAGAAAATAGCACCTGGGTGGCTCAGGCGTTAGCGTCTGCCTTCAGCTCAGGTCATGATCCCAGGGTCCTGGGATCGAGTCCCACATCGGGTTCCCTGCTCAGCGGGAAGCCTGCTTCTCCCTCTCCCACTCCCCCTGCTTGTGTTCCCTCTCTCGCTGCGTCTCTCTCTGTCAGATAAATAAATAAAATCTTAAAAAAAAAAAAAAAAGAAAATAGCTTTCCTACCGGTTTAGATGGCTTTAAACAGTTTTGTCCCTCACTGAATTATCTCCAGAAATGTTTATTACAAAAGCATGTCTTAAGAGCAATCACTCAAACCCTACTCACCCAAACCCTCATCAGTAACAGCTCTTGTGAGGAGCGTATTTGAATATTATCTGCTCATTTGCGGGAATCTGCTGAAGCTGTGTTCTTTTGAAGTCTCCACAGTGAAGGATGTTAATTACTCTGGTAATGATGGAAGATTAAATTAAAGAACTAATGAGCTTAGCATGAAAAACACCGGGGCACACTGGCAAGCAGCAAGCGAACAAGGGGGGTGTTCTGCCCCGCCGGGGGAGGCCCACGCGCTTCTTGCGATCCAGCGGGCGCTGATGGCTGTTCATCAGACACCACGGCCACGGATGCGAGTGCACGCCAACCATTCACCTTCACCGAGAGGTCAGAGCAGGAGGAAGGGCTCACAGGGAATAAAGAAGCTCTGCACGAGTAAGTACTAGAGACAGAGCAGGAAGGGAAAGATGCTAAGAGATTAACTATTTGCGAGAGTATCATCATTTCGAGACTAGATTGCAAATACCACACACCACTCACTCAACTTAAAGCATGTCTGGACCACACTCTCCCTTTACAGCGCATACACTCACTCCAGAGAAGTTTTTCCTAATGAGCATGCATAATGATCCCCTAAAGTGATGGCAATGACACTCATTTGCCACTTGGGCAATATCCGAGGAAGAGCATGAGGCTGAAGAGTCTGAATCTGAGCTCTGTCACTTACCAGGTGTGTGACCTTAAATAGGTGGATTAACCCTCTTCTCTGAACATGCTTCTTTATTTTTTTTTTTTAAATGGAGCTTACGACAGGATCTGCTCCACTGGGTAGTGATAAGGATTAAAACGACGACACATGGAAAAGTACATTAAAATGTGTGAAATTCCATTCAAGTATTCATTATACTTATTATTATAAAAGTTAAGATAGACCACTTAGCTACATCCCCAAAAGACGCAAGTCTCTCTGTATTCAACTCTGACTAACAGATCGAGGAACACATAAAAGCCTCCCCCCCTTCACCCATCCCTAGGATACAAGAGATCCAGAATAAACACTTTTCAATGAACAAAAGGGGTTTCTCTCAAAAAATACTTTCCATTCCTACAAAAGCATAAGGCTATAAATAAATTTGGTTTGGATACCAAGCTTAGGGGAAAAGAGGAGCTCTGTGATGCTTGTAATTTCCATGTCTTTCCTCCACTAAGCTAGAAGAGCCATGAGACTAGACCTCTGTGAGACGGTGAGGATGCTGTGGTGAGTATCTCAAGAACTCAAAGGCAAGAAACCACCTCTTACCTGCCAAGGGACACGGGACCAGTTCTCCTTCCAGTCGTGTTTCAACGTCTCCTCCACTACAAGTGTCCCCAGAAATCTTCCGATAGCTGTCACCGCCCCCCACCCCAAGAGCAAGAGATTAGACACAATCAGGAATAGTCATTAAGTCTCCATAATTGGAAATATATTTCCTATCCACGGACAACAGTGTTCATCTATTCATCTCCCTATAGGACAAGACGACATGTAATCGTTCTGAACTGGTCCTGCTTAGAGTTACACTGGGCAGCCCACCCAGTTGGGAAGCTGTCCTGGGCAAAAGTTTACATACAGCTCTCCAACAAACTCCTGTGAAGACACGTCCTTGCTGAAGTTTATGACTTAACACAAAGCTAGAGCTGCAGAGAAGCTCACAGATTTGCGTTTTTCTCACTGAGGGTAGAAGAGTCTGTAAACATCCTAATTCTAAATATTGCCCAAGCTCCCTGAGACCTGCTAGCTTGGAATCCAAGCACTTGGGAGTATGAAAGGAACCCAGGTGGTCCTCTCTGCTCTCAAGCCCAGCGCAGACCCCTCGTGTCCCGGCTATGGTGACTGGTGTGAGACATACCCTCTTGTTCTCCTATAAGTAGAGCCCACAGGGCAAGGCACGGGAGGAGAGTAGGACTTCCCAGAAAACTCAGGATCCGGAACACAAACCTCTAAGAACAAATCTTCACTCATCTTGAAGCCGAAGTCACTAAAAAGGCAATTGGGGTTCGTTAGGGCCGTTGGTTTACATACTTGGGGCATGTCAGTACCAAACCTTGTGACTTCTCCCACAGCGCCTACCGCTTTAATGTAAGTTACTTAATACGTCCCTTTAAAGAATATTCACCTTTTTACATTAATACATTTTCAAAAGAAACTTTACATCTGAGCCATGATTGAAAACCATGATCACATGCCAAAAATAAGACAAAAACAATATAAATCATTATACCAAAAAACAAAATAATATTAAATTTTTTAGCTGGATCCAGTTCCCTACCCAAAGACTCTGGGTCTGCCTGGTCTTTGTTAAGAGGGATTAGGAAATGGGGATTAGGAAATGGGGGTGCCTAGGTGGCTCAGATGGTTAAGCATCTGCCTTCAGCTCAGGTCATGATCCCAGGGTCCTGGGATCAAGTCCCCCATCGGGATCCCTGCTCAGCAGGGAGCCTGCTTCTCCCTCTGCCTGCTGCTCCCCCTGCTTGTGCTCTCTCTCTCTCTGTGTCAAATAAATTAATAAAATCTTTTAAAAAAAATTTTTTTTTAAAGTAGGGATTAGGAAATGGGGGCGCCTTGGTGGTACAGTTGGTTAGGCATCTGACTCTTGGTTTTGGCTCAGGTCATGATCTCAGGGTCCTGGGATCGAGCCCTACATCGGGCTCCGTGCTCAGCACAGAGTCTGCTTGAGATTCTCTCCCTCTCCCTCTCTCTCTCTCTCTGCCCCTCCTACTCATGCTCGCTCTCTCTAAAATAAATAAAATCTTAAAAAAAAAGGGGATTAGGAAATGTAAAAAGTTACTAGCAACCAGTGATCCTCTCTCCTTGATGTGATTAGAAGAATTAAAAAGGAAATTTAAAAGAATAACCTTTTTTTAAAATTAAAGATTCAATGTTATTTAAGATCATGTCCATGTACGACCTAAAATTACCTTGGGTGTCTCATCCTGCACTTCGGGACACAGTGCTTTGGTCCACGAGACCTTTCACAATTTGAGGGCCACATATCTCTGCCAAAACACCCATCTCCAAGGGCAGAGCCCCAGAGCAGGAAGCAGGGAAGCGAGGTCTAGTCCCAACTCTGCCCTTCACTGCATGACTTGTCCGGACTGCATTCAACAACCCCAAGATGAGGCAACTGCCCTAGCTAATTCCCGAAGCCCTGACCAAAACTTAAACTCTAATTCAAAGGAATTTTCCACATTGATGTGCTCTACTCAAAAGGCTTCATTTACTCTATTCAGTCCAATGAATACTTACTTAACACCTTCTCCACGAGAAGTATTAACAGGTCCAGGGCTAAGTGGTTTGTGTTGTTGATTGTGTCATAATCCACATTTAGCAATTTGTAGGAATTTTTCAAAAAGATGGTTTTACAGATAAGCAGCCCCGGGATCAGCCGGAGCCTGGCTAGAACTAGAGAATCAGAGCCGGCATTTCCACAAGATCCCAGGTGATGCCCACGCACACCCGGGATCCAGAAGCACTGGTCTAGGGCAGGAGCTAGCTAAGCCTGGTTAGCTGTTCTCGCAAAAAAAGCTTTATGGGGCCACAGCCATGTCCCCATTCGCCACCTACAGCTCCTTCCATGCTACCGTGAGCAGTCGTGGAGCTGCCCACAGAGACCATACGGCCGGCAAAGCCGAAAGCGTTTACTCCGTGGCCCTGGTCCAACCCCTGGACTAGCACATATCAGAGGCTTCTGGCTTTTGTCAAGATAAGTGTGGCTTCCCAAAGCAAACTTTAGGTTTTAGGGGCCTGGCAACTACTGAGAAATGAGTTACGTGCTTAGTTTGATACCCATGCTCTACCGATGACCCGCCTCGCCTGGGGTGATTTCATGCGGGATTACAGACTCAAAGGACTGCCTCGGGGCTCAGAGATCCTATGCGCTTTCCAGCTAGAATCCTCTTCTAAGGCTAAACTCTGTTCTGATCATCGACTCTCCTCAAAAGCCTTCAAAGACCCCCGCCTGCTTACAGAATAAGGCCCGTACCCTTTCTGTCTCCACCCTCCCGGATCAGCCTCAGCTGCACTCACTGGCCTCACTTTATACCTCCAAGGCATCCGAGCCAAAACTCCAATGCCTTCCCCGTCTCCACCCTTCCCCACGGCAGCCACATCTCAGACTGCTCCTGTCCACAGATTCAGGTACTTCCTTAAGCCCCATCTCAAACAGCACAGCCTCCCAAAACTTCCCGATTTGCCAGAAGCACATCAGTCTCCTCTTTCCTGCCAATAATCACAATAAAAGCACCCATTCCTCCTCCAAGATGTGTTGCAGCTTTCCCTCTCCAGCCACATTATTTGTGCGCCTGTGGCTTCTTCTGCTTCCCCCTTTCTCAGCCATGCCTTGGGTACTCTGCTTCAGGATGGAGGAACATACAAATATATATATATGGGCTGACATTCCCTCGTTTCTGTAGCATAGGGCTCCCTAAGGAAAAGGAGCGTGACCTACAATGGAATCTTGAAGCTGCCCTCATAGAAGTAAATCCCAGGGTGATCTCTTCCTAAATCAGCTACTGCAGCTTCCCTAGGGTGTGACACCTCTCCCTCATTTCGTAGCTGTAAGAACGAAATGGAATAAACTAGGCAGAAGGTGCCTAGCACATAAAAAAAAATTCTTAATACCTAGTGACTTCCTTTGATCTGCCTTCTTTTGCTCAGGGGAAGGGACTGTGCCCTAGTCTTGAGGGCCACGCTGCTGGCTGAGGAAGACACAACCCAGCCCCCAGGGAACTGAAGAAGAACCAACCATTCGTAGTCCTCTCGCGTACAGGAGCAGTTGGATACGACCACCGGCCTGTCAAAGTCTTCTCCGTTAAAGCACGTGGCGTGGGGTGTCCTCCGTTTGAAAACGGTCTTGTGTCCTAGCAAACACTCGTTGCCCCGCTCATCAGATGGCGACCAGAGCTTGTAGTCATTCTCTGTGCAGGGAACCCCTGGGGAAAAGGAAACACAGCAGGAAGCATTTGAGGGAGACCTGCGCACGCAGGCTTTCCCGTCTTCCCCAGCCCCGGGCCCGAGCACCCGCGTCCAGCACACCCTGCTGCTGCTCGGCAGGCACACGGGCCTCTGCAGCTATCCCAAGCCTCTAATCAGCTTGCTGTGACGCCGGGAGGCACCCACGTCAATGGACATGGTACCTCCTGAAACACAGATGCTCATCTCTGAGAAAGCTGGAAAGAAGCAAGCCACCTTTGGCACCATCTAAAACTTCTGAAATAATTTAGCAGATTCTGCAGTTCCCTCCAGAAGTAGGTATCAGAGGGGTTTATAGCCCAGGGAGTTCGGGTCAGGCTGGATCCTGGATAGATAGATGGTAGCCTTCAGGAGTATGGTTTCCCACCTGCTTCCCACCTGCTTCCTGGGCAGGGTGGGCACGCCTGGAAGCAACAGCCCAAGAGAGCAATAGACAATTCACGGTCACTACTTGGAAGGTACAGAATCTTCAGGGAAGGAGGCTGAGAAACGGCAGAACAGCCTGGATGATCGCTCCATGTTCACTTGGAATTTAAGTAGAGTGGTTTCTACAGGAATTCCAACATATGCCTATGTCTACACTGGTACTCTATGTCTTCTTTATAGACGTGTCTTCCATCGGATTACATGCTGCCTAAAACTGATGAAAAGCTGTCAGCTCGTCGCCATTCCTATCAGCAAGTACTTATTAAACCCTGACTGTTAAGCTCTCTGGCTGTCCAGTGGGTGGAAAATACACATGCACGGGACAGGTTCTTATTTCCGAGGACCTTATAACCTAGTTGATGGGGAATGATACAAACAGGGTGACAGACACAAATGCAGAATTCAGGGCGTGAGGAGTATGCTTATGCTCTGGACACAGAGAAGACGGGGAGGTCCTCTGGTGGGGATATTAGCAGCCAAGTGCATTCGATCCTGAAACAGGGAAAGGATTTCAATCAGCGGAAAGTGACTGGGGAGCAGAGGGGTCATTTCGGTCAACTGGAAGGATTGCGCCCAGGCGGGAGGAGGAGGAGGAAAGAGCAGGGCTGCGGGGGGCGGGGAGGGGGTGGCGCGGGAGGGGGAACAGGGGAGGAAGGAAGATGCGGAGTCGCACCTCTCCCTGCTTCCTTGTAAGTCCTGTGCCTACCCTAGCGGACGCAGAGGAGATCCCAGACACCTGGGAGGACCCTGCATCGTCTGGTACCTGGCCATTCACATGGGAGTCACTCACTTGATCTGTCAAACCAGAACCGCTGACTGGGAAGAACAGTTTTCATTTACTCACATGCTAAACACATGTATACCTAAGCTTACAGTGTACCAGTGATTGTGCAGGGAATGAGGGCACAAGATAACACAAGGTCCTCCCAAGAGTGGCCTGAGTAATCTCTTCGCACGTCCCAGTCACTCACTGCATACATGTGCACCTCCTTGCGCGGCTACACTCTCCGAGCTACAGAGGACCTAAGCTGATGCTTAGGTGCCAAGGAGGCAGCGGCTTACCCAAGGCATCCGTGGCATTGACCTGAAGGATCAGCCAATTGTGGACATTCTCTTTGTTGGAGCCAAAGATGGTGAAGACAGTGCTCTTCTCGCCGGGCTCCGTGAGGAGTCCATACACAAACACTGGCCTCTCGGAGAAGATGAACGTTTTCCAGGTCTCCCCTTCGTTGGTGCTGTATCTGTCCAAAAACGAGGAAGAGGATCCTTGCGGTTAGAGTCTCTACGGCAAAGGCTTGGTTTCCAGATAACATTCACTAGGGAGGGGAGCCAGGACTCCTTGGAGAAATGGCTGAGGCAGAGAACATTCAGGGTTGTACCAGAAAGCAAGGAAGGGCTCAGGGACTAATCTGATGGGTGCAAAAGGACACGGCAGCCAGCTCGATGGAGCTCCAGCTGGTCAGTTTGGGACAATCTGAACATAAAAAGAAAAATGATGGTAACAGATTATACACTAAATAAAAATAGGGTAAGGGTCTCTGAATGATCCAAAAAGGGACAGAAAAGGGAAGGAGGGAAATGTTCTTATATTACAATGCTACCTGATATATGTTGAAAACGACGACAGCATGAGAAAAATGACCATCCATCACCCACAATCTAGGAATGAACCAGGCGACATGATCACTGGATGCTAAAACCACTGGGTGGAAGGAGTGCTGGGGACCGGGGGTGTTCACATGGTCTAAAACGACCAACCCACAGATGACTCATTCACTACAAATGGGGAAATGCAACTCTACAGTGGACTGGAGTCACAGCCTCCACCAGACTCAGCACCACGAAAAATGGCACAATCTAATGTTACAGGCCTCCTGGAGAAAGCCCTGCGGGTATCACATCGTCTACGTGCTATTCTGTACATCCAGACAATCCAGCATGGGCGACATTCTACATGGCAACTGGTCTGGATTCTTCCAAAGCAAAAGTGAGGCCGCGAAAAACTTAAACCAACAAAAGAAGGCAGAAGGCTTGTTACAAAGAGACTAAAGAGGTGTTAACGACCACATGCAATGCGTAAACCTTGACTGAATCCTGGATTGGGTGGGGGGAGGCAGCTGTCAGTATATAAATATAAATACAGTGGATAAGGGACACTGAGCTCCTGTAAATTTTCTTAGGCGTGATAATGGCATTCTGATTGCTTAGGAAATTTATTTATTGGAGATACATGTTTTCAGTATTTAGCTGTGAAGGGGCAAGATGGCTGCAACTTTGTTTCCAATGACTCGGCAAAGAAGGATAGACAGATGGAAAGACAGGCAGACAGGATGAACACATAACTGACAGAAGTAAAGCGAATTGGCAGAATGTTAACAACTGCTGATTCTGAGTGAACTTATATGTGTTCTTTACACAATTCTTGTACCTTTTCCTGTGGTCTGACAGATTTTGAAGTTGGAGGAAAAAATATGTGCAGAGAGAACTCTCCAAGGAGGACTACCTCAGAACAAGAAAGCAAGCTCTTGAAAAAAATCAGCACTGAAAATAATTGTGCTGATTTTAAATTATCTTTTGTATTGAAGGGGAGGAGAAGGGGAAAATCTGCCTAACACTTGCTTCATCACCCAGTACGCTGGCGACGTGTTCAGCCTGAGAAACTGCTCAGTGAGAGCTTCCACGGAGCTCTAGGTTTGGTCTGAAATCCTAACGACACACAACGTCTTTCTTTCACCTTTCCCCTATTGTTGAGATTTTAGTTTGACTCCCTCAGCATCCTCATCCTTGACATAAATCTTTTCACGACATCATGCGATCCAAATACTTCCTCCCGGGTGAGATTACTAAAATGGATACTTCTGCAAGAGGCTGCAGGTTCAAATGGGTGGGTTGGGGGGCGGCCGCTACAAGGCAACATAAGTAATGAATGTCAGGGAGGACTAAGTGACGCCTCCAGAGATCTCCCAAAGAGGACAAATTCTCCTCTGGTTGAAACACTTTTGGTTGAAGCTAATTTTGAAACAGATCTGGGGATAAGTGAACTAGTTTGCTTGCCTTATTCCAGCAGCATCGGTCCATTATCCAGGCAGATGGGAGCCATCCATCTGCTCTGTGATAATGCTGGAAGTCCATCTATTTTCACATTGCTTAGTTAATTCGATTTAAGAGATCCTCAAACCCCAGATAACCTTAGGAATTGAAGCATCCCATTTCTTGAGAGGTTCCCAGAGGACTCTGGGAGGACACCTGAATGAGACGAAGAAGCAGGTGCATGGCCAAGCACAGCCATGTATTCAAGCATAAACTGTGCATTTAGAAAATGATGCTTTTTCAGAATTTCGGGGAAGGGGCAGGTCACATTACCACTGCAACAGTCTGGGGGATCATCTACTCTGGACCAACTTCTGATCCCTAGAGGAGGACTTGTTTTGATGATGTGAAAATAACAAGAACCTTGCAAGAAAACAAACCCAAGTCATCTCTGTGCTCCTCCAATCACAAAAGACCCCAACCTTTAGGAATGGAGGATTCAAAACGTCCAGATAAAAATACAGACATAAACCCCATGATCAGAAACTCTCAGGAGGATGGGAAGGTCATTTAATAGAATAAATGTAACATAACATAAATATAACCACAGATGCACTAAGTAAAAGAAGTGTTGACAGATACTCAACTGAAGACTCTACCATGTGGCTAGCTGTCCAGAAAGGTCCTTGATGAACTCAGATTTTTAAACAGCATGTTCATGATGGGGAAAGAGTCTTATAACCAAAGGCAAAAAAGTCAAGAGCAGCAGTGATCTGCTATTCTTACAGCAAGTGATCTGTAGGAACAGTGGCCAAACAACTTAAATTCAAAGTGAGTCAAATTATAAAAATAAGTGGTAGATTAGTGGGTCACCGGGATGGTGGGATGGTTGCCTGGTAAATTCTACAAAGAATTAGCAAAAAATTCTATAAAGAACTAGAAAGGATCATCCTTCTGACGGTCAATGGTTTAAATAGTAACAACAAGAAAAAAAAGTCAGAACCACTCAATTTCTGTTTTGGTTGTATCTTTATCAAGAAGAATCATCTTCAAACTGGACAAGGCAGGAAAAAAAATCAGTGACATTAAAAGAAAATAAGCGCAAAAGAGTGCACGTTCTAGGGAATGGAAAGACTTAAAAATACGACTGCAGAGTTCCTTCTAAGAATCTCAGAAAGAATCCTGGAGAACAGACAGAGATCTCTCAAAGCCCAGAGGAGGAAGAATAGCTTTACTTCCCTAAAGAAGAAAAGGTGGTTTCAAGAATGGTAACAGCTGATCTGATGGGTCTTAGAACAGAAGGAAGTCAGTCAGGGATGGGATTCACATGGTTTCACATACAAGTCACAACAAACGAATCCAGTTTTCCTTTTCTCGTGGTGATCCTGGATTTGAAGAATAGGGTAATAATACAAAACATTTCTTTTTTTCATAAGGATCTTTGTGGGCCACACAGCTAGATAAGATGCACTGTTGGTCAAGTAAGTCCCAAGCGTGCTCATTGCTGACATATCGTGTGACCTCACCGCTCAACGCCTTCGTCAAGGATATGAATAACAATATGGAAGGTCAATCTATCAGATCTGCAAAGCGGACAAGGCTAATTGTACCGATAATGCAATTAATGCCAAAACAGGGTTCAAAACCCTTTTATTACATCAAAAGGAGAAGCAAAAATAAGAATGAAGTTCCACATGTTGTTTCAAAAACCCACCTGCTCAGATACAGGATGGAGAAAATCTGGTCTTTAATAAAATTCATAAGAAAAAAAGGATCTCTACGTTTAGTAGTTAAACTGAACTTGAGCTACTGATATAAGTCACAGCAGAGATAGAATCTCAAAAATATGCTGAGTAAAAGAAGCCAAATACAAACGCAGGAAATTCTGTAATAGGCAGAACTAAGCTACAGTGGTAAAAATATAATCAGACCATCAGTTGCCTCTAACTGGAGTAGGGTAGGGGCGGTGGTATTGGCGGGGATGGGGCATGTAGGTATTCTCTGGGGTGATGGAAATTCTCTGCATCTTGACAAGCACCCTCCAGAAATGATTAAAGTGGTGTATTTACAACCTGAGCATCTCATGGTGTGCAAATGGATACCTCAATTTTTTTAAAATAATTCAGTAGAAGCTAAAAAGTAGGGAGGCTGTCAAAAGAGTAAAACCGAACGTCCCGAGCCATATCAGTATTAATCCCTGTATGCTGGGGTCAGACCTGGGCCCCACATGTTAAAAGCACTGACATGGGGAGGTAGGCCTAAAGGACACCCAGGTGGTGGAGAGTTGGGATCCCATGGCATCGGAGGAAAGGTAGTGGAGCCATTTGCCACGGAATGGGAGACACGCGGGAGGGATTGGGGGGCGCGTGGCTCAGATACCTGCAAGGTGTTCAGGTGAAGGAGGAAACACCCTGTGTCTGTGTGTCCTGGGAGCAGAACCAAGCCCCCTAACCAGAAACCAGAGAGAAGAGAATTCAGGCTCTCTCTGACTTGAGGACTTTCCTTCATAAAGGAATAAATAGATAAACAGAGTGAGGGAATGAAGAAACGATCAACAAACCGTCCCAAAGTGAAACGAAAGCCCCTTCTGATCTGGCCACTCCCCATCACTCAAACCGTCCAAGCAAAGACTGGAAGATCTTCCATCACAGTAATCAAGAGAAAATGCGTGCAGGGGCTGGTGGAAGGCCAGAGCAGATGATGGGATATGCGTAGATTCCTGCTACACCTCTCCCCGTGCACAGCCCAGAGCAATCCGGTCCGACTTGTCCAAATCCACATGCATCCATCCCATGGCCCTTCAGGGCCTGATCAGTGCACCCCATCACCCCAGGCTGGTCAAGAGCAGTCCTGCGCCTTTGCCCCCAAAATGCTTAATCCTGCCCCCACACCTCCCAGCTTCCGTTCTCACCTCCAATCTTGCTTCTTTTAAATTTATCCTCCTCAGCTTACCAGGGCCCCCTTTCTGTAACGCCACGTCTAGCCGTATCTAGCCACGTCGTTCCCCTACTGAAAACTCTAAAGGGACACTACCACTTCAAAAGCCAAGTCTGATCGCTCCAGTGCAGCAAGCACGGTCCTCCAGCTCCTAGCCCCTACCTACACCTACCTCAATCCCCATGTCTCAGCACCTCCTCCCTGCAATCTGCATACTATCGGTACTAAAGCCGTATACCTTCCATGCTGATTCATGCTGGGCACCCTGTGCCCAAGGTCTTTCTAACCCCGAAATGGCACTCCAAGCTTGCTCAAGCTCCTTCTCCCCCATCCTTCCTTCTCCTGGCCCCCATTCTGTGCTCCCACAGCCCCCTGGGCTCCCTCTGCCTTATACTCTACTCTGTTTTCATGGCCTGAATTTGCAAGCATATCCTACTAGACTGCCATGTGCCAGGAACAAACCCACTTACTCACTTTTCTGCCCCTGGCACCTGGCACCTTTCTTGGCACACAGAAGGGGCATTAATTAACATTTGCTAAAGGAGATGAAATGAACTGCCTTGTATTTTTTCAACCCCGTTACTGAGTCTCTTAACAGTTTAAAAGGTGGTAACACCCGATCCACGGTAACCCAAAGGCTAAAGAAACCAAGTGAGGGTGGAAATGTAGCAGGCGGGGGCGGCTCTCTGCAACTGTCCCACTAAGTGTTACCGCTGGCATTAGGTGCTGCCATCAAGCATGCAAGTTAACTGCCATCTCCCACATTCTCGCACCGGGGGGCTGCCTCCAGAACTCAGGTCCTGAAAAAACAGCTGCTGGGTGTAATCTCTGCACGATCTTTGAGGGACTTCTGTGGGAAAGCCCTACGAAATCAGAAACCTCCCGTGGGGAAAAGACGCTGTTGGGCAAGTCCAAAATACTATTATTAACTACCAAGGACAGCATTTTGCTGGCAGGTAAACCAGCACGAAGAAATGGAAATTGATCTTATCTTTCATGATCAAGCCAAAGAACTTGTGTTTGGGTTTTTGTTTTGTTTTGTTTTGTTTTTTGGTCAAAGTTCAAGAACACAGCAGCCCCTTTTCTGAAGGACACAGGGATTATACACGAGAAAAACCTGCATCCCCTGAGCAGGTTCACCGTGACAGCATGCTGATCGGATGAATATGTGAATCTCCAGAATGGGTTCTTATTTACTCATTTGAGACATGTAGACACAAGAGCAAAACAAAGCGTTCCACCTCTTGCTCTCAATTTCAATTAGCAACAACAAAGGTAACAGCCTCAGTGGAGAGTCAAGGCAGAAGCTGAGACAAATAACAGTCAACTCTTCGTTATCTGGGCTAATCAGGGAAAGAAAGACATGAATAATGTAGAAGAACAACAACCGAAATGAAACAAAACAAAACAAAAGCCTTATTTTTATTTAAGCAATGTTCCAACCTCTGTCCCCACCAAAACTCTTATGAGAGTTCCTGATGTTACCCCGCATGGCTTTCTTCCCTAAGGCTCTGGGTCAGAACGCTCCCTTTCAGAATAAGCCCTCCCCTGGCCTCTCTCTCCAGCTGGCTCAGAAACATAACAGAGCCACAGGGGGCATGAGCAGCTCCTGATGGATTGCCTCACTCACCTTTGCACACTCGGTACCTAGAACAACGTCTGGTCCATTGTCCGTGTTCAACAAACGTTTGTTGTCATTGACCTTAGATGACGTCTAACAGAAGTATGCTCAAGTTCCAGCTTGGGCCCTACCTACTGACAAATCACATTATTTCAGAGGAAGGTGGACTGGGCCAGCCCTGGTGCCTCTGGGGGGCACACATCCAGGGGGGGCCCGATTCCTACTTGAGCTCCAGAAATTGTCATTACACAGAGGACGGTGGGAGTGGTCCCCTCAGAGCCATGCACCTGCCACACTTCCGCACCCCTTCCAGTTTTATAAATCAGTAAAGAAATAAGCAATCTTGGAAGACTAAGTGTGCATGACCTATTTATTGACCGATCAAACATTTACAAAGTGCCTGCGAGCCTGTACAGAATAGAAATACTGGTCAAAAGACCTTGCTAATGAGTTGAAGAATTCAGGCATATAATAAAAAGGTAACTGATGATAAGAAGCCCATATGTGATCAAGGCCCAATTAATGAGCCCGCCAATAAATACTGAGACTCCAGGAGAGACATCACTGTGGTCGGGGAAGCCAGACTTGAAGGGGCCCGAAGCCCTAGCCCAGCAACAGAAACCCTTCCTCCACTCATGCTCGGTTATCACAGTAAGTCACCGCTGTGGTCGGAGGCTATGAACTAGATGCAGTATTATTTCCTGCTTGTCTTCTGATGAAGCTGATAGCACACAGCGACAGGTCAAAAGCAGAGTAGCCCGAGAAGCAGCAAAAAAATCTCTGAGAGCAACCTACTGCGTAAATGCCAGGTGGCTACACAGATTTAGGCCAAGCTCTGACTGATATTTGGGACACATGCACCTGTCGAGAGGAGGCCGGAATATATCCTTCCTACTTGCAAATGCTGTATTTGAACCATACGCATGGATACCTCCAAATAACCTGCAGAAATAGAAGGGGGCTACAGTGCCCATAACCCCTCCGGTCCACAAACCCCGCAGTCATTTTTAAGCATCCGAGGGGGGCACGGTGATTTTCTGGCAGCGGGTTTCTCTTCCCGGTCGTGTTTTGCTCCAGCTGCTGCAGCAAATGACACTGCGTTCCCTGAGCACATATGCACCAACAGATGGTGTCAGAGGACTAGAATCATGCTAACTACTTCAGGGGAGCCGGCTTGGAATGCAAATGCCATCTGCAGAGAAGTTAAACAGGGAACCTCAGAAACTGACTCTACGATGGGACGGCCACACGAAGAATGACACGTATGCTGCCCAGGGAGCCAAACTGTGTCCCCTGCTGGCGTTCTCCCGCCGCCGAGTCCCCACCATCCCACTGTTTACTTGTGTGTCTTACCCCTGGAGGATGGGCTCCTGACGAGGGAGGGGACAGATCCTCTTTATCTTTAGATATGCAATACGCACTCCCCAGCACAATTCATGCCTGCTAAAACGTGCCAGATGGGAATTGATAAGTTAATGGATAAATAAATAAATGGCAGGAGAGATGTGGGAAGCACAGGGCTTCGTGACTGTCCTCATCTGAGCACACACCAATGGGAAGGTGGATACAGTGTTGTGTACAAACAGGACTTGCTCCCGGCTCTTGGCTCCACAGCAGCAGCTGACCAGCGCCACACAGAGCCGAGAACAGCCAGACGCCAGTGCTTAGCCTCCCTCTGGCTTGCTTGAGGCCAACCTACTCAGCACAGGTGGGAAACCAGATGCTACGATCTCTTTTTTCAAACCGCCCACATCTCTCTTGCTGCTGGCCCTGTTTCTAAAAGGAGCAAAGGACGACAAGGTTTTCGTCTTTGCATTAAACAAGACCATTACCGAGGCCTCTCCACCTCCTATGGGAACACATCTCGTGGGTTCAGCGCAAATACGGGGAGAAGGGAGGGCCGGTCTGCCCCGACCTACCGTTAACAAAATTAACTTTGGTCCTAACTCACACAGAAATCCTCAAAGAACTGGTTCTGGTAACAACAGACTTGAGCAAGCAGAGGTGACAGACTCTCGACATGTTTGCTTTTCAGGGCAATACATGTGCAAAGAGTACAGAATGTAATTTAACGTCACTAACAAATGGGGGCATCCTCAGCAAGTTTACTTTACCTTGCTGAGCCTCAGTTTTCTCATTTGTAAAACGAAGCAGTTAACCCCAAATGTCCTTTCCAGGTCCATTTGTATGAATCCCGAAAGCAAATGTGTCAACAGCGAAAGCCAACTGGTTACCAAGTAGGATGCATTCTGAAATTATGACTCAGGTATTATTATTATTTAATATTATTTACTGTTCTTCTTATCACTCCTTCTATGTCACACACAAAGCAAAGATAGACAAGTTGAAGTCTCTAGTTAATTTTTTAGTCATCATGAATTCATATTTATATAGAGCTGTATTTTGCCAGATCAATAAAATTGTATCACTGGTTCCTTCTGATACCCCCTTGAGATAGGAAGGACAGATCATTATTCCTCTTCTATAGATAAGGAAAGTTTAAATAATTTGCTGAGGTCAACAGTAATTTGCTGTCAACAATCTCGAGCCTATAGAGAGACAATCCGCTTGTACTCACAGACTTAAATTTCTGGGAGAGCAGTGTGATGTTAAGAGAAAAAGCTTCCTCAGAGACACTTACTTCAGCTCATTGGTTTCCATGCCCTGGGCGATGGCCATGATGATGCCGCCATGATCTCCCCAGGTGTAGTAATGAGGTCCAGGAAGTGCCTGCAGAGGAAAAACCAGGGCTGATACCACTGCTCTGGAGTGACTGGGCAGAAACCACGCACACCACACGGGCACACACATAAGCACACGGCAGCGATGCCAACCACTCGAATACAATTTTTCAGTTTCCAGAGCCCATTCACATCCATTCCCTCATTTGCCCCACACAACCGTGGGGACGGGTCAGCACTTCTCATAGCCCCATTTTTCCCCCCAAATGAAGAAACGAGGGTTCGTATTAAAGTGGCTGACTGTCAACAGCAGGGGTAGGAGTCAAGCGCCAATCTCGGACTCTCACCCGCCAGGGATTACAATTTAACCACCTGGAGTTTGAGTTCTACCACAATCTATACGTATAAATCCACGACAGCCCATCCTTCCTGCCGATTACAAGGGAAAACTTTGAACAAGATACAAAAAAGAGCTGCCCAAGGACGCTGAAAAGGAAACACAATCAGGCAGCTTGTGCAGGGACTTCAAACCTGAGGAGCCACCACAAGGTTGGGGTTTCCTGGTATGGCTTTGCCCCAAGGGAAAGCCCCAGTCCTGGAACACCTCAGTCCCAGGTGGATGGCCACACCGTCAACAGAAACCGTTTCTGCAGCCCGGGGAGAATGTGGATGAAATGCCACAAGGGAGAGTATCAAAAAAGTTAATCCTCTAACTCTGTGTATGAACTCACACAAGCCTCACCCTAACCCCTAAACTGCACATGTGTGGAACAGACTGAAACCGACACAGCAAAGGTTTAGCAAACACAACGGAGAGGAACCTATGGTCTGAATCTAAGCAGATGCACTACACGCTAAAATGAAAATATCCACCTCCTCCAGTAGATTGCATTCCACGCATGTCGTTCACATGTCCAGGATACAACCCCAAATTACTCAACACAGACACCTGTCAATAAAACATGTCCAATTCTCAAGGGAAAAGGGAACCAACAGGTGCCAACCACAAGATGGTTCAAATGCTGGAATTACCAAAGACTTGAAAATAATGATCATAACTGTGTTTCATGCGGTTAAGGAAAACACACTTGAAATGAACAAAAGACCAGAATTCTTCCCAGAGAAGTGGAAGCTATTTTTTTAAGAAAAGAATTTTAGAACAGAAAAATATAACATGTGAAGAAAGAAATTCACGAATGAGCCCAACAACAAAATGGAAATGACAGAGGAACTGGTGAAGCTGGTGATAAATACAGAACAGAAGAAATTATCCATTCTAAAGAACACACGAAAAAGAATGAAAAGGAAAAAAAAGCCCCAAAGACTGGGAGGATAATACTAAAAGGTCTAGTGTGTGTGGCTGGAGTCCAAGAAGAATAGGAAAAAGGGACCAGAGCAGAAAAAAAATTTTCTCTTGAAGAAATAACGGCTGAAAATTTCTCAAATTTGGTGAAAGACATACATTTATAGACTCAAGATCAACCTACCCAAACAGGATAAACGCAAAGAAAACCACACCTAGATACATCACAGCAAAACTGCTGAAAAGCAAAGATAAGGGAAAAGATCTTGAAGCCTTTCGACAAAATGACGGATTGCATGCAGGGCAGTGATGACTGAAATGACTGTAGATTCCTCATCACGAACCAGAGGGGCAAGATGATTGTAGCACATGTTTAAAGTACTGAGAGAAAATCACCATCAAACCAGAATTCTATTTCGAACAAACATATCTTCCAGGAATGAAGGTGAAACAAAGAGATTCTCAAATGAAGGAAAACCAAGAAAATGTGTAACAGTAGATCTGCTTGACAAAAAATGCTAAAGAAATTTCTTCAGGCTGTACAGAAACTTACCAGGGGGATACAAGGATTCTCAGGAATGAAGGGAGGGCAAAAGAAATACCTGGGTAAATATAAAAGATTGCTTCTTTCCCCTTAAATTCTTTAAAACTGATAGAATGATGGAATGCAAAACAAAAGCAAAAACATTGTATTGTAGGTTTTTTAATGTACTTCAATGAGATACATAGGACAACAATAACAGAAAGGTCAGGGAAAGTGAAAAGGGACTTACATGGTTGCAAGGTTTCTAAATTTTATGTGAAGTGTAACATTATATTAAGAGCAATATTAATTTAAAAAAGACTATGAAGGGGCGCCTGGGTGGCTCAGTCGTTAAGCGTCTGCCTTTAGCTCAGGTCATGATCCCAGGGTCCTGGGATCGAGCCCCGCATCGGGCTCCCTGCTCGGCGGGAAGCTTGCTTCTCCCTCTCCCCCTCCCCCTGCTTGTGCTCTCTCTCTCTCTCTCTCTCGCTGTGTCTCTCTCTGTCAAATAAATAAATAAAATCTTTTAAAAAATAAATAAATAAATAAATAAAAGAGACTATGAAAGATTAAATACGCATGTTGTAATTCTTAGAGCGATGACTGAAGGAAATATAATCAAAAAGACAATACCTAAAAGTAGAATACCAAAACCATCTAAATAATATAGAAAAGTCAGTAAAGGAAGAACAGAGGAATAAAAAATAAAGATCATACAAACATACATAAAATCTTGGACCTAAATCCAACCGTATCAATAATTAGTCAAATGCTAATGGTCTAAGCATTTCAGTTAAAAAGCGAAGCCTGGCAGAATGAATAAAAAAGTAAGACCCTCCTATACGCTGCCCATAGGAAACACTTCAACTATAGATACCAGTGGATAGACAGTAAAGAGATGGTAAAAGATATACTATTGAAACAGTAAACATAAAAAGGTTGGAACAACTATTTCAATACTATATAAAACAGACTTCAAGACAAAGATTATCACCATAGATGAACAGGGATATTTCATAACAATAAAAGAGGCACAAACAGAAAAGGTAATTATAAAATGTGCATGTACTGAATTACAGAGCCTCAAAATACATAAACCTAAAACTGACAGGATTTAAAGAAAAACCTGGCAATTCCACATAGTTGGAGATTTTACCACCGTTCTCTTAGCAATTACTAGCACTAGTCAAAAAAAAAAAAAAAAAGGTCACTAAGAACATAGAGGATCTGAACAGCAGGGTATCAACCACCTTCATATAAGTTAACACCTTCATATAACTAACACTAACATCCGACAACAGAACACACATTCCTTCCTAATGCATATGATGTATTCAGCAAGAGAGGCCAAAACTGGATCCCAAAGCAAGTCCCAATAAATTTAAAGGGATCAAAATCATACAAAGTGTATTCTCTGACTACAGGGCAATTAAATTAGAAATCAAACATAGTAAGATATCTAGGAAATTTCAAATATCTGAAAATGAAACAACCCTTTTCTAAATAACTTATCAAGGACAAAAAGCAAAAGGGACATTTTGAAGTAACAAAAATGTTCTGGAATTAGAGAGTGGTAACAGTTGCACATCATATCACTTGTGAATATAGCAAAAAGCCACCGAACTCTATACTTTAAAGTGGTGAATTTTATGGTATGTGAATTACATCTCAACTTTAAAGAGGGACATTAAGAAATATTCTGAACTGTAGGACAACAAAAGTACATTTCTAAATTTGTGACAATAGTCAAAGCAGTATTTAGAGGAAAACGTAACAGCTTTAAATGCTTATATTAGGAAAAAAACATCTAAAATCAATGACCTAAAGTTATACCTAAAAAAAAGCTACAAAATAAAAGCAAATTAAATCCAAAGTAAATAAGGGAAAAGATAATACTAAAGAGCAGAAATCAACAAAACAGAACACAAACCAAAGAAACAAAGCCAAAAGCACATTCTTTGAAAAGATCAATAATATTGACAAACCACTAACTAAACTATTAAGCAAAACAGGAAAATCCCCACAAATCCTCAATATCAGGAATGAAAACAGGTGATCACCACAAACCCTAGAGACCTTAAAAAAAAAAGGAAGAAAATACCCTGAGTCATTTAAAGCCAACAAATTCAATAACACAGATGAAACTCACCAAAACTGACATAAGTAGTAGAAAATCTAAACAGTTCTCTATCTGCCAGAGAAACTGAATTTCTAACCAAAACCTTCCCAAAAAGAAGACTCCAGTTTCACTGGTGAGTTATTCAAGGAAAAAAAAAAAAAAATCACACCACTTTTACACAAAAGAGGAATCACTGTTCAATTTGTTCAAGGACACCAGCCCAACACTAACAACAAATTTGAGGACAGTTAAAAAAAAAAAAAAAATACAGACCAATATCGAATAATGTAAAAATCTTTAACAAACTATTAGCCACTCAAACTTAACCTTGTATAGAAAGGATAATATATCATAATTAAATAGGATTTGTCCCAGTAATTCAAGGTTCATATAACCGTCAAGAATCAATGTAACAGGGCGCCTGGGTGGCTCAGTTGGTTGGGCGACTGCCTTCGGCTCAGGTCATGATCCTGGAGTCCCGGGATCGAGTCCCGCATCGGGCTCCCTGCTCA